AACTGGACACACGTGCTTCAGTCCTATCGAAGTGAGAGCTCGACACTGTCAACACCTTCAACTCCTCTGCCCTGCTTTCTTCACTTACAGATGACCGGCTCTTCCCTGCCACAGTACTGCTGTCAGACTGGAGCTGATGCTTGAGGGATGCAGGCTCTAAAACAACCATGCAGACAAGTAGGAGAAGAAAACATGAGCTGCACAAAATTTCCAAGGCTACATATGCTGATAAAAAATGTTAAACGCATCCAACAGAGACTTACCAACTGCAACAGATCGTAATTTCTCCAGGACACCATGCAGCCTACAAGAAATCAACAAGTTCATGTTATGGAGAAAGATAAAATACACACTGAGCATAACTGTATCTAAAATGTTTGGTGCAAGCAGTGCATGCTCTTAGTAAGTAAAATATAATAATAATAGAATTACTGTGATCGTACCAGGCTGTGAACTTAACAGTGTTGTTTCCGAGGAAAAGCGAGAGATCGTCAGCCATCTGTTGAGAGGTTTTCTTGTTTGCCACCATCACCATAATGTAGTCAGGAAGCTCCTCGTCTAAATTGGCAAAGAGAAGAAACTCATACAGCAAGTAACCAAGCAGCTGTCGTCTCTGACAACAACATACGCATTTTATTCACTTACCAATATATGCACCGAGCTCTTGAAGCTTGCCCTTGATGGCAGCCTGCAACAGACCAAGAGTAACGTTACAGTACGGCTGATATTAAAGGGTTACTTAATAACTAGCAACGTGGTCTGACGTTACAGGAGTTAATTTAAGGATCAACCAAAGAGCTGCTAACACGTCTGCCTGCTGAATAACTTTTCAGGTGATGCTTCAAACCGTTCCTCGGCCTTGTAAATAAAAACCTCGTTACCATTACGCTTAACTGACACGCTAATGTAGCTAGCTAATGTTAGCTACAAACCTCTGTGATACGCTAGCGTTAACCAGGACCTAAGTCCGGATCAAAGCACTCATACTCAGGCCATGGCGTCACTCACTCTTATTTTCTTGCTGATCTCTGTCCCGATTTCCATGCTTGTGGTTTAATTCAAGCCAAGCAGGTCATTAAACAAACAACTGACCACGGCTAACCACCGGGGACAAATATGACGTTGATATCACGTGACTGAAGATGGTAGCCGAAGCGGGACAAACATCTATCTAGTTATCTATCTAGCTATCCATGTTATTTAATATAACTCGGCAAGTAAATTTCCTCAAGAAATAAAGACCAAGTCTCCAACTTATAAAAATTTATTTCTTGGCGATTGTCACAACTTTTAACTGAATATTAAATATTGATTAAATATTGAAAATGAAAGTAGTGAGAACCTGCATACCGTCGGTGTTACATTAAGATGATTGAAAATGCAAAATTTCTGTAACAAACTTTCATCATGCATCAAATTCACACACTATACTTTACTTTAAGTCCCCCATACTTAGCATTTATAAGCAGCATACAAACATTTAATAAATCATTTTTAACATACTTACTATATTATACTCATATGTTGTTGTATGCAGATACTGTATGTGTTTATTAATGTATTTGTATACAACTGTAACCCTTCCTTCCAACTGACCATCAGGCTGGATCCCATGTTCCATTTAAAGAACAATATATGAAAAGAACAACCAGCACATTAAACTATAGTTCTTTTTTCACTTTCCTCTATAAATTATTAGCCACAGGGAGAGTGAGACTAGATTTGTTTTTCTCCCTTCATTGGATGTTCCTGTAATAAAACTGTACATCTGGGATGAATTAGAATTTGTCAAGAAACCAGAGCAGTTGCTCAATAAACTCAGATTAGATTCCTGTTGTCTTCAGCTGTGATCCTGAATTCACTGCTGCTCTCCTCCTCCTGTCTTTTGTCTTGTCCACATAGTTACTGCTGCTAGATTCACAACTACTCGAAGCATTTGGATTTTCTGGGTTTAAACTTCTTCTCTCCGAGTGTTTCAGCCACCATTTTTTCTGTTTTTTTCACTCATGTAACGCGGGTCAGCAACAGTCCACTGCTGTCAGCCACAGGGCCACTCAGAACCACAGTGAGACTGGGATGATCACCACACACAGCGTCACTGCTCTGTGTGGCCATATAGAGTGAATATAAATGTAAAAAGACAGGTAAGATGATCCCATACTCACCATGTTTTGGATGAGGCTGTGGACTATGATGGTTAACTCTGATATTATATATTAGTTGTCTCTCAGATCAGATTTAGTTGTGCTGAATCTGAATGGTCAAGTGTCACATGAGCTTTTTTCCTATTGGTTGAAAAATGCTGTCATCTTCCTCAACAGTTTGTCAGAGTTGTTTACTTTCAAAGGATATTCAATTTCAGACTGAGGGGAGATATTTCAAATTAGAAACCATTTATTTTTATATATGAAAGTAATAATTGTGCATTAACAATGATTTGTTACACTACTTTGATCCATTTTACCTTATTTTCCTCTTAGAGGGAAGTTAATTGTTTGCTTCTCTATATCTGTTTGTTAGACTACTTGATATACAGTCCCAGCATCATACAGTGTATGTATGGGAGGCCTTGACATGAAAACATTTGGGAGTCCTTTTGTTTTTTAATATTTTCACCTATTTCTTCATATTCATGGCTCAATTTCCCTCAGTTACAGCAGTTTCTCAGTAAATCCTGAATTTATTCAGGCATAGTGCTGTTTCATGAGCATGTTATTACAGAAAGGAAAACTTCAGTCACACTGCCACCCAGTGGTTCTTACAATATTTATACACTTTATAAAACATAACACTGCATTGTTTGCTGATAGGAAACTGAAAGACATTCGTCATGCCAGAGCTTCTGTTTTATTGTTCACATTTACAGAATTTATTGTGTGAGTACAGCGTTTATACAGAAAGCCCACTTGTCCATACAGCAAACAGACATATAACACATCTCCTCACACTATGTACAGGTGTAAGCCATCATAAAGCCTCTAGCACACTTGGCATAACACTCAGTCACTCAAGGTTCAGAACAAGTTGATAAGACTCTAGATGTTCAATAATGTGACAGATAACACGTGCAGTAGTGTTCCTGGAATCGTGTTTACCTGAAATGGGGCAGCTGGACGAAGAGAACGGGGCAAATTCAGGATTGTCTGAAGCTAATTTGAAATCTGAATCCGAACATTTATTTCAGACACACATAACTGTCTCTTCATTTATCAATAATTTATGCCCATGAAAGACACTGTTTTGTTTTTTGTTTTTTTTTAAAGTTTGGACTGTGTTTTTGTTTGGTTTGCTGCTGAAATGAAGGTGATGTTTGTTGAGAATAAAAACTGAAATATGATCACTAGTTTAGTGGTGAAACAGTGTCAGCAGCACCATGTTGGTCCTGAGATTAAGTGTTTCAAGTGGAGTTTGTCACAGCCACAGAAAAATAACTGCAGCGTTAGATGACCAGACTCATTTAGCAGCTACTAGAAAAGAAATAGAGCTTATTAAAATAGACTGTTAAAATGAACTCTGTCTAGTGGGTGAACATGGTTTGTAAAATGGTCTGGCTGATGATTCCAGTGTTTTTGAGGTGCAATGTCTGGATTTCAATAAATACCTGCAAGCGAGATACTGCTTTAAGGTGATGTTTCCATGTTGTCAAGTTTAATCACAAGAAAGGCAAAAATGGATAGTGAAAGTGAGATGGGACTTAACATAAATTCCTGGACTAATTACAAAAATACATACTGTGAATGAGTTGATCAATATTAAAAAAAAACAAACAAATCTGACCTGACAATATCATAATGAACTAACATCTCTGTTTCTGTGGAACTGATTTATGCCTCCCTCTGCAGTAAAAAATTAAAAATTATAACTCAACGTGTGATCAAACTCAATCTGTCAAATTATTTCCCAAATAATAATAAAATACAGATATTTTGGTGTGTATCCTTTGTCCAGATACAGGTTCTCAGTTAATTTGGCAACCATTTTTGGTCAAGCAAAAATACAGTTTGTTTTTTTTACCCATTTCCATTTCAAGAATAATCAGATTACTGAAAATATAAACTCCACATAAATATTTGGACTGCTCATTCAGACAGTTTGATACATCTTGAAATCTCATATTACAGAAAAAACAAAAACAATTATTGTCTGAAGCCTCACTTCTAAATTTTTCATATTCTTGCCACACATCCACAACAGTCCTGAATCCAGATCCCAGACAGATGACACTGGTTAAACAAATACATCTTGCAATGATGTTCAGGAAATGTGATTAATGACAATTTGTAAGGCTGTCAATCTATGTTCATCTTTGCTTTAATACACTGGATTTGGTTTGACTGGTCTGTGTAGTTAATACTGAGGATTTCCAACATCATCTTTCTGCTCCATGAGAATATCCAGGACTTCAATCATCTGCTGGTAGCTGTTAATAATTACTGATAGCAGCTAATCAATTGATTATCTCACAACAGTTCTGCAAGGTCTTAGGGAGTAAGTGAAATCAAATAGTCAAATCCATATTTATCTTTGGTGGTTAGACTACAGTAAAATCAAACACTAAGCACATTTTTGTTTCTTCGTGCATGGGGATCAAATTGGTATTAAAAAACACTTCATGTCTGATAACTCCATTTACATTTCACTGCCAAAAATCAGCAACTTCCCACCCCTTAAAGATGATGTTCCAGTCACCATATAGTGTCATGTAAACCAGTGCCACCACAGACCTCATTAGGGAGATGGAGATGGCTCAAGAAGTGTGAATACTGCAAGAAATACTGAGACAAGGGTTAGTGTTTTATTCCTCAAGTTGATGTCTGATACAGAGCTGACACTGAATCGGGGTAAAACCAAGTTGGGACAATGACAGAGCAAGAGGTTGACAGGTGTGTGTGTGTGTGTGTGTTTGTTTGTTTTTGTGTTTGTGTGTGTGTGTGTGTGTGTGTGTGTGTGTGTGTGTGTGTGTGTGTTTGTGTGGTGGTGGTGGTGGTGGTGGTGGGGGGGGTTGTTGGAGTGGTTTAAGAGATGCAGATGTAAATATGTGTGTCACAGTTCAGTGCCCACTGCTTCAGAGAAAAGGGATTTTGTAAGAAGCACAAGGCCAGGAGAGGTTATGGCCACGGGGAGAAGACGGAGCACCAGGCTCCTTTGTTCTCTGCTCTTGGTTTTTGTCACTAGTCCAGCTGTTAGCCAGAGGTCAGTGGAGTGAGACACTATGCCAGGGAGCGCTGACGAGGCTTGATCCTAGGATAGAGCTGCAAAGGAAAGAGGAGAAATGTTGAACATGACTAATTTGTTATTTACATTCATCATCATTGACGTCTCTCATTTCTTTTTTTGCTTTGGAACAGTTATGTATTATGTATTTTCCTTTCCAGTGCCTTATGTTAAACGAGCGTACCCTGTGACTCGAGCTTAACAGTAAGTCAGATTCATTTACTAATATTATCAATATTTTCTCAACTGAAATGTATTAATATAATAGACAATGACATCAAAGCAGAAATTCAGCCAGCCGATCACAGATAAAGTTTAGGGCTGCAACTAACAATTGTTTTCATTATTAATTACTTGAAACTTTCAACAAGAGAGTGAAACACTGCTTTTTAGGATAGGTTAACCCACTTCTTATTAATCAGGACCAACAAATTAGAACATGGGAAGAGAAATGCCATGTACTGCCCCTCCAATCACTTCCGTTTCATTAGGTTAACCTACTGATAAGCTGAAAGAAACCAGACAAATGTGACAAATAGTTGTATTTTGTTGTTACCCCCAGCAGGTTGCGGGGCACGTAGCCCTCGCTGTCTTCGAGTCGCGCCCACCACCACTCTGTTTCACTGTCGTCCTGTCGTCGCAGAATGGTGACGGCGTCCCCCTCGCTGAACGACAACTCGTCCTGGTTCTGAGCTTCGTAATCCCACAGAGCGTACACTGTCCCCTTGTTCATGACCCCCAACTTCTCCTGAACACCTGCACGAGAGAGTCCACAAGAAACTGTTAATATCACGATTGCATTGGACACAATTTATGCCATGTTGTCTTACAGTACAGGGGCTGATTTATTATATTTTTGGTTTTTGTACAAATTTCAATGAAGTTTGAAATGACAGAGTTGTCAACTAGTCCTTGTAAAATTACATTTGGACCGATGGGTGGGTTGTTTCTCACCATATAGAAACTGGGAGCACTGAATATAGCCCTCTTCCATTTCTTCGCACTTATCTGCAGCGGTCTCCACATCACTAATAGTGCTTGCAAAGATGGCTGCTCCCGACTCAACCAGGAGCTTGCAGAGATGAACACTGTTACAGGAGGCGGCACAGTGAAGTGGAGTCCTGTTCAAACAAACACAACAAACGGATCATGTCAAATCAAACTCAATAAAATTTCTTCAATATGGATTATGGGTTATCACCCAGCTCTCCTGTTGCTGGAGACCTTGGACTTACCATCCATCACTGTCAGCAGCATTGACATTCACACCAAAATCCAACAGGAACTTGACTATGTGGTGATGCCCCGCACACACTGCATTGTGCAGGGGTGTGATGCCCTCATCGTTGGGAGTGCTTGGATTCTCCACCTGCAAAAAAAAACAAGAAGAAAAGATGAGCGCTTATCCTACACGCAAATACACATGAATAAACACACATGGAAGCAGTCCAGACATACCTCATAGATGATCCTCTGGACAAGGTCAAACTCTCCCTCCAATGAGGCGTCCAGCAGGAGGGCCAGAGGGTTGAACTTCACTCTGAACCCATGACCAGTGCGCTCGGAGTTTGGCTTCTTCAGGTTTGTGCGTTTCTCCTGTAACAATAGAGCGAGGAAGCAGGAGTTACAATTTTATTTATTCAAAAACTCTTCTAATGCAATAATACAGTAAGTCTGTGCATATGTGTCTCTCACCAGGGGCTGTGAGACCACCGTGCCACTCTCCTCTGGAGTGGTGACCTCCAGCACAGGGCTGGGCAGCGACGCCTCAGAACTTCCCACATTGTTGTTGTTGTCGTCCTCTGGTCCTTCTGCTTCAGCGGCATCGCCCAGCCCTTCTGGTGGCGAGGGCAGTGGCTCGTTGTCATTGGCGTCAGTAGATGGAGGTGGAGCCTCAGAGCCCAGCTCCTCTGCCCCAGGTGGTGGCGGTAGTGGCGTCTCAGAGAGGAGGTTGCCATTGTCTGTATCTGCCACAGAGTCACCTCCCAGATACCCAGGAGGATTAGCTGGCTGATAAAACGGTGTTCCGCTACCTGCACCGTTGCCACCTCCTGATCCACTGACTCCATTTCCCTCTATTCCTCCTGCTAGAGTGTTGAATCTCTGGTAGAGCAGTTTCTGGATGTTGGGTCCACTGGGACCCTCTGGTTCTGTGATGGAGCTGCGCTTCTTGAGGGGTCTTGGAGCGTTGGCCAGCTTTTTACGGAGCACCTCAAGATCAGCGTCACTTTGGTAGCGCAGCGGGGAGTGTACCATGGGTGTTAGCTTAGTAGGGCTGAGTGGTCGTGGGATGTTCTCCACACTGGGAGGCGGCGCTGAGGGCTCCAGGTGCTGGAAGGCCTCGTGATCGTCAAATTCTCCGTCCAGAGAGTCCTCACCGGTGGGTTGGCCTTGTAGCAATGGGAAGGCCCCTCCCGCCTGAACAAAAGGCAGGGGCGAGGGGGGTGTCGAGCTGGAGGGGAGAACAGGCTTCCCATATACTGGAGACAAGGAGAGAGTGGAATTAAATTTGAAGGCATTGACATTAGCGCTGCAGCCATCATTATTCTTAGTAGTAATTCATCTGTACTTGTCTGATGTCTAATATGTCAAAAAAATGTTAAATTTCTTGTTTTGTCTGACTAACAGTCCAAAACCTAAAGATATTTAATTAACAATGATATAAATTAGAGAAATATATCTAAGGCTGACACAAGCTAACGTTGGGCAGTTTCTTGAAACATGATGTAAAATGATTAATCACAGTCAAAACTGTTGTCAGTTCCTTTTCTGTTAATCACAAATGTTGACATTGTAGACTATAAACTTATCTTTTCCCAAAAAGTAAAAAAGTTAACTGAATTTTTAGTGCTAATTGATGTACATTATAGTGTTTGGTAAATGCTGAAAAAACAGCTGTCGCTTTTATAAAAGCCTCATCAGCCAAATCACCATTTTATTATTTTTTCCAAAGTAAAACTGAATCTACAACGTAGCATTAATACTGAAAGAAACACTATATCACAATACAGGCGTCTGATTCCAGCGATTCTACATTCAACTATTGAACTATCCAATCATGAAAACATGAATTTCACAGTAAGGCCTCACATATTGGACCATCTCTTCAAACACAGCTCTTACCTGCTTTGAGAGCAGGCTTGAGTGGCTGGCTCTTTGGCGCTGCCTGCTGGAGGTACATGTGATAGATGGAGCTGGAGTTCATGGTAGGTGGACCTTTACGGGGCGACTGAGGCCGCGACCCTCTGTCTGGCATGAAGGGGCGTACTGCCACAGCTGGCGGTGGATCGAGTCGCTCGCTCAGCCCGGGAGGGAAAAGCGGCGTATTAGGCTGGAAGGTGGGGCTTGGCGGCACTGAGATACGCTGCTGGATCTGCTGCGAGGATGAGCCTGTTGAGGGGGGGGCGCGAGGCCAAGCGGGAGCTGGCGGGTTTGGGAGTGGGCGAGGAGGAGGAGGCGCATCCTTGCGGCGATCCAAGGAGCTGGCTGAGTTTGCGGAGGTGAGGTGGGAGCCATAGGGAGGCGGCTGGGGCTTGGATATGGCAGGGGAGGAGACGACCATTTTGGTATCTAGCACCTGTGAAGAAGCATGAAACCACACAAACATCCACCACTGAAAAGCGTATTACAGACAGAGAAATGAGACCTAAATCTTGAATTCTTCCCCTAAGGTTATATTAAATCTCAAACAGAAAACATTTGTCATATGGATGTGAAATTATTAATGGCTACAGAAGGAGATTAACATCGTTGTAGACATTACTGGGGATAAAAAGAAAGGCGGCTAACCTTTTCTGCACTTGGAGCGCCGGGGGAGCCTGAGGGAGGGCTCTTGCCCTGGATATCAGTCCCTGAGTCTCTTCTCTCAGGAGGCTTTAGAGTTGTGTTGGTCTTGCCAACTGTAGGCCAACCAGTGTCATTAGCTATGGCACAAACAGGACACAGTAAATGTGTTGCAAAAGAGAAAAAAGACCATAGTGAATGACTGAGGTGATAAGGTGAGAAGCATGAACCTCTATTGCAACTCAAAGTAGTGACAAAGCATGTCCACCAGAGCTAGGTCCAAATGGTATTCTTCTTTTTCATATTTGAAAAGTGTCTAATTAACCACATACAGTGGAACATTGGTGATGGTTTTTCAAAAACAGGATGTGTAATGTTTTATACACATACATGTGTATATGTACCATTTGGACCTAGGATTGGTATTAAATGGAGGGTTCAGGATTTTGAGAAGCCTATCCTATTAACCAGACACTATTAAAGAGACATTCAAACTCTTCCTGCTGCTTTTTTGTTAATGCCAATTTGACATCTTTCATATTTATAAGCAAAGATAATGAGAAGAATCAAACCACTTCTCTAAAAATCCCTAATTCAATCAAAAAGCTTGATTAAGTTTTTGATTAAGAGAAATGGCTTCATGTACCATTGACTTAAAACCACTCCCTTTTCACACTATTTATGGTCAATTATTCATCTTTCTCAAAATCTCCAGACGCTGTTGAAGGTCCATGTTGCCAGACACATCTGGTACATCACAACATTCCTTTATTTCTTGCACAAAAGATTTGCAAGTTGTTCTTCTTTCGTCTTAAAGCAGAAATTCATCAGAAATACTGTAGACTAAGGTTTCAAGAGGGGCTATTGATCAATAGGACAAAAATCCTGAGTCTTCACTTCGCAGCAGTGATGGCAATGAATGTATCTGCATTAGTATTTTTCTACTGTGTGCACATGTAGTGTTTTAATTCAGTCTCATTTGGTAAATAATAACTAAATTGTGATTTAGTAGAAGGTTCAGGGATGCAAAGTAAGTACTGTCACTAATGTATTGTTTATCTTCAAGAATTAACTGATTACTTAAAAAATATATATGTGCAAGATAAAAGAATGCATCTTTAGACAGCAAGGATAGGATGAAAAGAAAGTGGATGGAAAAAGGAAGACACAATGAAACAAGAGCATTGGAAACAGAGAGAGTGTGGCGACCAACTCTTTACAGACCCAAAAACATCAAAAGCCAATTATTGCTTTCTAGATTGACAAAATTCTATATAATACCCATGGTAATTTTAAATAATCAACACAGTGGCAGTTGGTCTGCTTTAGTTTGGTTCTTTTCTTTAAAATGTCTTTAAATGTAGCCGGAGATTAACACAGCAACAGTGAAAAAGTTCTACCAACACCAACTAGAGTCTAAAAGGAAAACAGGTTGATCAGGGTCTTCACAGATTATTGAGAGTGACATTTCCTAAGTGAATCCAATGACATTTTAACATGTACAAGTTAAACACCTTGTGCATGTAAAGTGTTTGTCAACTAAGAGTGGTTCTCACAGCTTGGTAGATGTGAGAATGTGGTGCGGAGGCTAAGGTTAGACGGGCGGGGAATGTTATGGAATTAGAACAAAGCCCAAACACTTTGGACAGCTTTGCATGTGTGAACGTATGAGGCACTCAACTCATTGAACCTTCTCAGAAGAGTACAAACACACACAGGATCAGCAATGCTTTGTCAGTGACACTGTCTTCAGATGAGCTGTGACATCAACTATGATTAAGAGTGTGAAACTTCATCCAAAGAGGAATGTCAACATGAACTCTCTGCAGGTCAGAAAAAAAAAAAACTGGCTCAATACTGCACAGACAGGAGAGCTGAATGATGCCAAACAAGGACGCTTCCATCAGTCAGTGATTGTTAAGAAGTGCATCTCCTCCACAGCTGTTCATCTAAGCTTCAATTTGTCTGGTGGAGCAAATCATCAATGCCCCTTCACTTTTAAACATGAATCATGAAAGTAGCACTAGGTGATTAGATTGTAGTGATTGGGGTGAACCGAGTCTCTGTACTCTTAAATAAGCAGCCACTTAAAGAAACTATTTGTTTACAGTCAATTAAACTTAAAGTCTGACTATGACAAGATATGGTTGTAATATGGGGTAAAAACTTAAGTGCATGCTGAGGATCCTGTGCTACAGTTGAGAGAGAAGGTTCAGAAAGTGCCAATCCCTCTGCTTTTGCAGCACTGTGCACTCACGGGACGTGCCGTCAGAGCCAGTGGAGGCTCCGGTGCCCGGGTGTGATTCTGGAAGGGACGGGGGTACCGGGTCCACAACGATGTCTAAATCAGACACTTTCCAAGGGCCGGGAGGCTTTCGCACACCGTCTGCCCCAGGAAGAGTTGCCCCCAACCCCACACCCACAGTGAAACAGAGATGTCACAAAGACAGGACAGCATAGACACATGAGAGAGGAGGAGAGAAAAGGGAGGGAATCACAGTTTACACAACACAGGAAGAGAGTGAGGTTAGAGAGGAAGGAAAATGAAATTACAGAAATCAAGTCCAGGCGGAGAATCCACTGAGAAGTCAGGTAGGAAGGGAACGGAGCAACAGTCGGGGCCCACGAGGGAATTTCAGTCACAAGGTGTTCATGCAAGATGTATTGAATGTGTAGTGGTGCAAGACTTCTGCCCCTGGGACTACGTTTATCCAAGCTAACTGAATGCAGGAGTTATCTTCTCATCTGCTGTTTCCTACTTTAACTGTTCATGTTCTTGCTCTCTCAAATGAGGAAAACAGACAAGAAATGAAATCAGATTTTCAATAAAAACTTGCTACATACAGTGTATCACCTGGTATCCACTACTACAGCTGTGCTTACTTTTCCTGCATTTAAAAAAAATATGCACTACACATATAATTTTGTGGGACTAAACCAACCTGACTTAGCGCGGCCATGGTTGGCTTGATTATTGACACCCAGAGTCTGAGGCTTCAGTGGATCAGGTGGTATGGTGTAGCCTCCCTCCTGACGACCCGGTACAGGGACTTGGATGTACGGTCCAACTGCAGCAACGCGGCCCAGGGTCCCAGGAGCTGGCTGGGGAGAGGGAGGCCCATTGGCTCTGTTCAGCTGTAAGAGGAGAGTCAGAAAAGTGTCAAACTTGTTGAAAGGAAGACTTGGAAAGCCAGAATAATTCCCATTTTTTTTTTTCAAAGTAAAATGAAAAATTTAGTGTCTGAAGTGAACTGCAAAGAGACAATGACTTTTGTCAGAAGCATTTCAACCTTTTTTTTTTTCAAAGTAAAATGAAAAATTTAGTATCGGAAGTGAACTGCAAAGAGACAATGACTTTTGTCAGAAGCATTTCAACCAAAACAATCTTAAAAGGAAACGTGTTAAGCGCTCCTAGTCTTACAGGGAGGTTCTCTTTTTGACGTGCCTCAGCTTTTTTCTTGTAGAGGCGTTCCCGCAGCTCGCTGATGCGCTTGTCCATGAGCGTCACTTCCATGTTGCGCTTGTTCAGAAGCTCCTTCTGCTGCTGTAGCTTGCTGTTTTGCTCCTGGTTCAACTTATTCCGAATCTGAGGATGAGAAATGAGGATGCAAACACATGTGCGGACTCACTGGAATAATAATTACTGCTATCAATGTAATCAGGGGTAAAGTAAACATAACGGAGTCTATAAAAGCATTCACTAGATGTGGCACTTTATTTCTCCTACTCAGTACCTGAAGCTCCTGATAGAGTTTACGGAGCTCTAGGGCTGCAGTGCCGGTCACTTGGCCACCCAATGCGGTCTGTATGCCGTTGAGCTTCCCCCTCCGCAGGTCCTCCAGCTGCAGGCTGAGCTGCTCCACCCTCAGCACAGCCGCCTGTAACTCCGCCTGCTTCTCCTGGAACAGGCCGCTAACTTGCTCAATCTCTACAGCTGCATGTGAGGAATGAAACAATCACGTCAGGTTACTCTTAATCTCAGTGTTGGGTCTATTTTGTTAGAAATTCATCTTGACAATGACAGTGTCTCTCAAAGGCTTGATAGATAGATAGATAGATAGATAGATAGATAGATAGATAGATAGATAGATAGATAGATAGATAGATAGATACTTCCTGTCTTGACTGCTTTTTTCTTAATCCTTGACTCTGATTCATAAAAAGTAAAAACATGGTTCCTTTCTGAAAAACTATTTACATAAAAGATCAATTCTCAACACAAGGGTTTGGATTAGAAATCAGCCAAAAGTGACGTCTCATAAGGTTTGAGATATTCATACATTCAGTCTGTGAAAATGTGTGAATCCATGGTCCTCATCATTACGTGAGCTTTTTCCATTATTCTTTATACTGAAATATTTCAATTCAAATGTGAGCAAGCACATGAATTTCATGAACTCATACCTACAGCTGTCATTACATACTGTACAAAAGTATACATACACAGGTTGCCATTGATGACCTTGCTGTAGTCCACCTGGCCTCTCATTGCCCGGATCTTCTTGAGTTTTGCCTCCTGGTTCTCCACACGTTCCTTTAGCCTCTGTAGCTTCTCGCTTTCAGAAACAGTTTGCTGCTGACGCCGCTCCTGCTGCTTCAGGTAACGTAAACGTTGCTCCTTTAGAGAACAAGACAGAGATTTAATAGGTTTTCACGGTTGATGTCAACTGCATCCAGCAGTGCAAAGAGTAAGAAAGAAAGAGAAAGAAATACTAAAGACAGATGCTTTTAAATATTTCATCTGTTCAATGCTTGTATGTTTATGAGTCAAAAATAACAACTCATGCATGAATATAAAACCAGCAAGGTGAGGAAGATATCTCTGTGACATACATGCCCTACAACTGGGCTAAATCTTCCTACTGTATGCACTAAGTGAAACGCTGTGCTGTGTCAACACTGTCTGAAGGCTGAAGAAAGGGTCAGATGACTTCATCTCTCTTCCCAACTGAGAACTGCTCCAGTTAAGGTCCTAAAATAGGAAATGACAGGCCCAGGTTTCCAAATGACTGCAGGGCTTCAAGTGGGCCTACTTCTGAGACGCCACAACAAAGGCAATAAATAGTCTTTCTATCGACGGTTCTACAGTGGGCTTCAGCTTGTATGACTGATCAACCCACCACAAGCACGGTGGTCAGACTGTGTTAGTGTCCTGGAAAACCACAAAGACTGAAAGGTAGATTGTTTGTGTGGAGGTATTGCCGCCCAACCCAAAGAAGAAATCTACTTTTTATAAGCATTGCAAAGCTGCAAGTATTTAGAGAAAGGTAGTATCCTTACTGTTCAATGTTGCTGAATAATTGGGACACTGGAGGACACTAATGTGTGCGCACGTGTTCCTCTAATGACTGAAGTATAAATTCTGACAGACTGGACAATCCCCACACCGTGACTCATATGGCTTCCCAACTCATTTGTTATGTAAGTGCCCTGTGTTTCAGGTCATGATGGGACTCTTAAGATCAGAGTAGTGCAACAGGAGTCCATTTCCTGTCTAACAGAAAGCCTCAAGGCTGTGTCCTGAACTCACCTGGCCTGTTGAGGCCTTGAACTGCCTAATCTGTGTCTGTGGGATCAGACTACATGACACAACATTAGTCCGACCGCACCTTTCTGATCACCTATGTGCAGTTTGTCATGCAACACATGAAAGATGGCAAGCTATGATAGTCGCGCTTCGATGTAAAGTCTGCCATGTCTCTCGATTAAGATGGAATCTAAGAATATTTGACTCTATAATTGCCTCATTCGATTCCTCTGTTTCCCAGCACTAATTAGATCAGTTCAGGCATCCACAAAGGCCAAATCACCTCCACTTTTTATTAGTAAGAAGCATAGTTTGAATGAAAGACCATTGACATGTTCAGGGGGATGATTCATAGTAAGACAAAAGAATGCAGACAGGACGTTACCTTTGCAACAAGCATCTGCTGCTGAGCCTCAATTTGCTGCTGCTGCCGTGTGGCCATCTCCTGCAGCTCTGACAGCGTGAGCTCCACACGCTGATTCCCCACCTACACACACACACACACACACACACACACACACACACACACACACGAGAACAGGTCAAGACGGGTCAAGAAATCATAATCTCTAAAATCTGAGCAGTGTTCAGACACTGACATCCTCTCTGAGGCAGATAAATAAGGATTTCTAAACATTTCCAGCAGTGAGGTTGTGCTTGTTGGTGCTGGGTCATCCATTCATTTAAACACCACTGAGGGTTTTAGTTCATGTTTTGAGGACAAACACAAATTTAAAGTTTGTGCAATCAGCCCAAACGTTTAAGCTTTATCCTCCTCATATTAAAAGCGGTTTGATCTCAACAAGTGTATGACCCAACAAATATTTTTTTTGCCCTATGGGAGGTGCTATGTGTACGATGAAATAAGGATGCAGAAGGTGCAGATTCCTCACACTATTATACAATACTTATTTTTGTTATAATAGCACTTTTAAGACTAATATGCAGGACAGTAAAAATAGAAAAGTACATCCGACATAAAAAGTTGCATAAGCTAAAAATGTTGGATAAGAATAAAACAAAAACAAAGTACAAAAACACTAGTAACGCAAAAAGCCATTTGCAGAAATGATTTTGAAAGATGTGTGAATTCGAAAGCCAGAGGGTCAAACAGTCAGGCTCTGCTTCCTCCACAACACAGCTCCAAAGATCATTATGATGGGACATTAATTGTGATGAGACTCCGTTAGTTAGAAGGAGAGTCTGAGGCTCTGAGGGCAATGTGTCATTTGGTGTTTGTACACATGGCAAACACTTCATATCGCATCGCACGGGATAGAGAACACTGAGCTGTTATCGTGCATCTATCATCACCAGACAAAGGTCGCTGCATTACACAAATGCATAGAGACACCACAAGACTATTTTGCTACGGCAAAATAAAACTGGAATCTGACTTTATTGTTTAGTTAGATATGGTGTCCACTCTTACCTTCTTTATTTATTGGGAATCTCTACTGTATCTACATGAGACTTTCTTAAAGACAGATCCTCCAGTGACCGTTCGTGACACTAGATGCCACCGCTCGGATGACTGGATTGGACTGTATTGTTTGTACACAGAATGTTGCCATTTCAAGAAGTAGCCTCTATGATCTGTGTACGATCTATTACATATAAGAAAATAATTTAAAAACAAACTATCACAGTTTTCTAAACGTCAATTTGACATAATTAAAGCTTTTGTTTTGTCCAACCAACGGTCCACAACCTATAGATTCAGTTTAGTGTCACAGAGGAGAAAGCAAAACAGAAAAGCGTCACAATTCAGAAGCTGGAACGAGGAAAATTACTTTTCTATTAATCAAATGACTGATTAATCAACTAAGCATTACACTTCTAATAGTAATAAGGTTTATACAGTGTAGACCAAACTGAGACAAAGACAGCTACACATGCAATCTGAAGATGTTATCTACCTTCAGAAAGGCACATTAGCAGTAACAATAAACCTGGCTCAACTAGACATGAAAACAAAAGGTTCACCACCAGAAACAGTTCAGATGAAATTCTCTTCTTCAGCCAGAAATCAGCACCCATGTCTTGTTGCAGAGCTCGCAGAATAAAGCACGACTTGCTATCAAATTCAATTCTGTTTTTCCCCTCAAACCACCATCCTACAGATATCTGAATTTCACAAAAGCAGTTGCTTCAGTCAGCATACTGAGTGAGCAGTGAATACAGTCCTCCAAACTACAAGCGGTACTGAAATGCTGAAGCGCTCCAAGACTTTTGCCTTTAGGAAGAGTGTTCAAAGAGGGAGGAGAGAGGAGACGATGCAGGAAATGTCACATTGAAAAAGAGTGGTGGTTCAGATGTGACATTTTTTAAAACGTGAAGAGATTTGAGGCATAGGAACGATGGCGACATGAAAATAGAAATGTATTATTTTAAGTGTATTTTAAGTGTGTTTTTGGGTAAAAAGCAGGAGACAGAGGACTAAATCAAGGTGAAATAAACATGACATGCAAAAGGCAAAAATATTGTATGCACTTCTCTTACTGAATTAGAGGAGGCAGACATCTGTGACTCATCTCATCTGAATAAAACATGCTTCTTTTCGGGATTAATTTGCCTTTTAAAGTATTGTGAAGTGAAGAAACAATCGTGTACATCTCATACCTCATCTCATCTCAGAGGACACGCAGCAAAGCATCTACAGCTCAGACATTGTTGTCGTACCTGGCATTTGTTAAGGCATTTAGATACAAGAATGTCCAGGGTGAGTCAACTCGCACAGAGATAGAGATGGAGATGGGGTGGGGGGGGTGGGGGCACACTGGCGTGTGTTCACACACACACGCTCTAATGCACTCAGTGACAATTCACCCGAGGGAGAAACAGACACACACGCCCTCAGACAGTGATGAAGAGGAGGTTGGAGAAACACCCAACTGAGCAGATCATGAAGAGAAAGAGAGAGAGAGAGAGAGAGAGAGCTCACTGAGGAGGGAGCACATAAACCTATCCGCTAGCTGCACAGATTTGTACATAGCTAATTGATTATGGCTAAAATAAGTCATATTATCAAAATGATCACAAGTTACTCCTAACTATTACTCATGCAATAATGTTCAACAGAAAATTTTCAGCAACTACTTTAATGATCAAATCATCTTGTGTCAGGTAGGAAACTGAAAACAAATATTTTGTCATCTTGTGCTGGAGGAAACTGTCATCAGCATCTTTAACTGTTACCTGACATTTTATAGACCAAAAGATTAAACGGTTCATCAAGACAAAAAACTGCAGATTAACTGAAATGGAAATAACCATAAAAGACCTACTGATACACATAACAATTATTTAAATTCTCGATTATATATTGATTATTTTCTCGATTAATTGATCTGTGTGCGAAATAACCCATAAAAAAAACCCCATCACACTATTTCAATGTCTTCAAATTGCTTACACCTTTTTCGTACCCAACAATATTAAATTATTAAATGAACCATCATATATGACAAGCAAATCCTCACATTTAAGAAGCTGGGACCAGAGAATGTTTGGTAAATCTGGCTTGAAAAAATAAACACACTGAAACAATTAATTGATTATCAAAATAGCTGCTGATTCAGTCATTCCTTTTTTTGTTCATTGACTAATCATTTCAAATCTTGGCAAATGAAATGAGATGTTTCAGTACTGCCAATAACCTGTCATCATCAATTATGGAGGCTTCGACTTGTGATACATATATATATATAAAAAAGAAAAAAGCATTGAATATAAGTGCAATCATTGTAGTGTTCCCTTGAGGCACCTCTGCTCTTTACAAGGCAGCGTTCCTCTCAGAGGATGATCGGCTCTGCTTGGTGGAGAGAAAGCCCCTGGGGTTTGGGCAGCAGCCCGTGGAAAAGCCAAAGCAATGATCCTCTTAGGGACCGTTATATCATCCAGCAGGCTGACTGATATAATCCTCTAAATCAGATATTAGGAAGAAACTCGGACACAAATGAGCCTCAGCACTCGGGAGGTTAAGAGGAGCCGGCCATGCCGCTAGAAATGTCGTTCTCTTTAAGTGGACGAATGGTGATGATTAAATAGATGTTTTTACTTGTCCTGGCATGTTGTGGGTTTTATAGGTTATTAACATGATTAAACAGAGACTGTCGCTTTGAGAGTGGATCAATAGCTGATATCTAGATCCATAAAAATATGTATTACCTCGACACAAACAAGGATAATAAAAGCAATGGCTCCTAGCTGCTCTTGTACTACACTGCTATAATTTTTTTTTCACAAAACAAAAACCTCTCCATCTCCTGCTGTGCTGGATTTTACCCTCCACCCTTAAGGTTGAATTAGTTACGATTCCTTGACCGCAACACTTTCCTATTGTGAAATCTGGGACAGATGGTCAGAGAGAGAAAGGATGCCATGCCAGAGGCTGCTCTTATCAGAGTCATTCACATCTCTTAGCATACACATCCTACAGCTAGAGATGAACATGCACAGAAATGGGTGCACCTGACACTGAAAACACCAACAGCATCTGAAAAAACCAGGGTCTGTGAGGTTACTCTCAAAAACCAGCTCAATATCAGAATCATTATATATCCACAGACATAAACACATCTACCTCATACCAGAGACTCGAGTCATGTGCTCCTCCTCAGCCACTGTGTTCCTGCAAGGAACATCGTCTGGCATTACCTTCCCTACACACAAGGCAATCCCAGACTGTTCTCATTTGTGGTTCCCTGATGGTGGAACAAGCTACCAAATGCCATCAGAGCAGGGGGGGTCCCTCTCTATCATCAAGAATCTCTTGAAGGCTCATCTCTTCCAACAGCACCTCCTCTCCTAACACCTCTAACACCCTAACTCTGTTGAACAGATTTAGTATTTACTTCCTCCAAAGTCTCCTACTGTACTGATGCTTGAGTGCTGTTCCTCACTTGGCAGTCACTTTGGATAAAAGCGGTTGTAAATGTAATGAGTAAATGTAATGTAAATGTGATGTTATGTCACTATTGTGCTGTACAATGACAAACCAAAACGCTGTCACACAGTAAACATACTACTTGTAGATGCTTATGTAGTGTAATGACGTCAGCTGACGTCAGCTCAGTGGAAGAAAAATGACCATTCATCAATACTTGCTTTGAAGTCCGTAAAGCACAAACAATTCAAAACAGAACCAACCACTCCTTTATGTTGGTATAAGAAAGCCAATAAAATGTCAAACTTGAACTTCAACATATTACTAATCCTAACATCTAAAAACCTTATAAAATGTATTTTGGGAAAACTGAATTTCAAACAATTTTCCCTGTCAATTCCATGTTGATACATTTTAACTGAGTAACAACCCCCCCCCCCTCCCTATTTTTAAAACAATAAAAACCATTATAAAAAGCTCATACTGCATTATACCATTTTATGTTACAAACTTATATATTACTTTCATTACATCCCTAACCTATGCATGGAAGGGGGCACCAGAATTCATTAAGTTATTGCAAGTACATTTCTATTTTAGCACCATTTAGATAATGCTAATTAAGTCTCACCCCATTCTCATTGTGCTTCTCTCCAGTGTTTCCACTTCTGCGGCTCGTCTGATCCTGAGACTGCTGACTCCCTGCAAAAAGAAACAGTCACCATCACAAACACCGGCGGGGCAGAGACACACAAGTGTGCACAGACGAGTGTGCACACAAGTGCAGATTCAGAGACAACAGCCATTGTCAGGAATGGTTTGAAAATTCACTGACATGATTGCACATGACAGATGGAATTAAGAACTGGGACAAGCACTGCTGACTAAAGCCACCTAAGTCAAGCTTGATGGAAAGATGAGAATTAATGATTTAAAACGTTACAGGAAAAGACAGAAAACTGACCACTTGTGCTTTATTTAAAAAAAAAATAAAAAAAAATAAAAAAATAAAAATCACTGGATACGTTCATGGTACTTTTGCTACAGGAATGTTCTTTCTCAGTTGAACTCTAAATTTATATCAAACATGAAGGAGAGAAAGGATCACATTGCAGCGAGTGTGTTTCCCTACTGCCAGTTAACTTTGTGTGTAATTCTTCTATACATCCGACTTAAATTAAACTAATGTGTCCTGGTGAGTCTCTGGTCCTGTGGTCTCTTGATTGATTTTAAGCTTAGGTGCATTTTACACCTGACCTTTTATGTGGCTGTACTGCATCCAAGCACAAATGCAAAAAGATTTGTGTTAATGCAGTGTACGTGTGTGAAAATGGGGCGATGATTTTTTCCTTTGACATGCCCCATGACACATCAAATAAACTTTTATTTTCGCACATAAAAACTACATTGGTTCAGTGGTTCAAAGTAAGAACAAAGACCACACATGGTTTGTTTTTTAACCCAACTTAAGAAGATTCATACTAATAAGCTGCTTAGGTATGACTATCTTTGGTGTGTTTGGTGCATGAGGGTAAAATGTACTGTGCACCAAAAGCAAGAATGCAAACACACCTTAATCCAAAAGACTAAGAGATTCCAGAGAGAGAAACAGAAACACAGACTGACAGCAGCATTCATAGCTGAGCAGCCAGCCAGAACAGGTGTCAGGAATTCCCTGACAACCCTGTACTCCACCCTCCTTCAGGGAGAGTCTACACAGCGAGCAGAGAAACCTCTTGGCAGAGGAGGCCGGGACAGTACGCACCTTGATCGCTGCCCTCAGTTGGTGAATCTTCATGCCGGAGGAAGAACTTGACCTCTTGTTTCCGAGGCCCCCATTTCTGCAGGTGTTCATACATCATGTGCTCGAAGGGGATCGCTCGTTCTGCAGAGGCAGTTAAAGAAAAGGGGAAATAGACTGATTAGTCAGATCCACTGGTCAGGAGGTCAAATGGAAATTCTGTGTATTAAGTTAAAAGCAAAGTGAACAACTGTTTCCTGTTCTCTGTTGTATCAAAGACTAATTTTTGCTCCGATGTGTGTTGGATGTCTTTGGGACACATACAGTATCAATACAGCATCAGTACAGCCTGCCACATGCTTTCAAAGATGATGTTGGTGATCGATTTGTTTTACCTGTTGCCTTTGTTAAGTTAACTCACAGACAGAACAGGTGCCTCTCTGCAGGCCAATGCAAACACAGCAGCACTGTAGTAAAGGGGAAGTGTGTGTGCATTTTGCTATTATCTGGTTGACAATTACAATAAATGAAAAAATAACAAAAAGAAAATACATTTTTCTCAGCCAATTCATGCTATAATCTGTTTGTGTATTTGAATTTTTTGATGAAGTTTTCAAAATAAAACCAAGCAGTAAAATCCCCAAGAAGCCTGGCTTTACTGAGATTGATGTACAACTATGTGTGCTATTTTTTTTTTGCATTTCAAGTGGACAGTATTGCTGTAGGCACAGAGAGACTGAGAGACAAAGAGATGGAGACAAAGACAGAGAGGTTTTAGGAGGTTTCGGGGGCTGACGGCTGCATTGTCAGGCACCAGCCGAACATGATTGCATAACGTGGGTTAATAAAGCTCTTGGCTGGGATGTTGTTTTCAACAGCGGAGTGGCCCCTCAGCAAAAAACGCTGATAACACCGGGCGTGTCAGCACGACGATGGTGATGGGACCAAATCGTTTGGACCGAGTGGAATCTGTTGTGACAGTGCTGTAGACAGTACTGGCACGTAACCCTTTTTTGACCTACAAATTTAAACTTGAAGTGAATTATTCAAGTCTGGTAACAGCTGATGGGAATGGGAACATGTATTTGTGTTAATATATGCCTTTCTTCTCTTTAAGGGTGTGAAACTTGCGTCTTATTTATGGCTTCTCCATGATTTTTCCTCCTCTCAGGTAGTCAAGCATGGCCCTGTTCGACACCTGAACTTTCTTTAATAGAGTGCTTGTTTTACATTAATGAGGAAAGCCAAAGGCTAAATTAAACTCTTGTGCATGTAAGTGAAGTGTCAAACTCAGTGATAAGTTTCAGATTACTTCACCTTCACGCATTACTTGTGGCACCCTCTTTTCTATCTCTATAACATGGCAGGGCCCTGAACACCGCTTCCGACAAGAGAGGAAGAAGAATCCCTTGCAGTTCTGATTTTTTTGGTAAATTTGTGCTCTGCAGCAGATAAACAGGCTACATAACAAGCAGCACAGCTTGATCCAGTTCTTACCGTTGCCTCTCCAGACCTCAGCCAGGTGGCAGCCGCTCTCGCCAGGCTCTTTGCAGAACTCGACGACATCGCGGCACGTCGTCTCAGGGGTGATGGGCACCTCAGTCACAGCCTGTTCCCCATCACTGAGGTACACCGTCAATATCATCTAAAAGAGGAATAACAAAGATGATCAACGATCCCACTGACAGTAAATAAAATACAGCAAAAAAGACGATCACATAACATTAGAACATGAAAGATTTAAATATGAATAAAAATCATGAAAACATAAAAAGTGGCAGTTATTACAGTGGCAGATATTACCAGCAGAAATAAAGATAACTTAAAATGTTCTGTATCAAAATATAAAGACATATGGAATGAACAAGAAATGCTTAAACCATTTTTGTGCAAAGCCCACCATTCTGACGCCCGACACTTTGCTGTCCCCCGGCCCCGTCTGTGAGCTGCTGGTGGACTCATGCCTGTGCCTGCCACATTTCTGTTTACTATGACTAAAGCCTGCCATAGCGTTTAACATACACAGTGAAGTAAGACATAGCAATGCAAGCCCTCACATGCTTCTGTCTGCACTCATCTAACAGTAAAAGCAGAGACCACACAGTCCCTTCTACCTTCTTAACAAATCACCTTCAAGACGTGGTGACTTTGTTGAAACATGAGGAAACTGCAAATCTTCCTAAATCCTATCCCACATATACCCTCCTAAATGCAAGTTGCTAAACGGCTAAATGTCAAAGCTTGAAGGCAGTATATGGCATATAGGAGGAGGACTCAAGTGAACTTCATCCTATATCTTGAAAGTATAATGAGTTGAAGTGTTAGGCTACTTTGTACCTGCAGCTATCAGACTGCTATCAGCCAAGTAATATTGTGACAAGGCAATGTGGCTGTACAATGTATATGACCTTTGAACTAGTCCACTTGGCACTGCCTGCAATAGCTTGCGTATTCAGCTTGAATACAAGGGCTGAAATGACTGGTTGATTGATTAACCCACTCACTGACATAAAATCAACAAACAGATGGGAAATATCTATTTATTATTGGAGGTTTTTGTGATATATTCTAGGAATAAGTATCAGTACTGTTTGGACCACTAGTGGGTGGCCAACACAGTATTTAACATGACATGTTTGTGCAAATAATCACAAATCGATCATTGAAATGATACAGAGATTTGGCCAACATAAACAGTGTTGTTCAGAAATGTTATTAACCTGACAACAGGTAAGAGTTTAACTGTAGGAAATTAGCATCAGTTAGCTTCTTGTCACTTTAGTTGATTAGACTGTCAAAGTCACAGACACTTGTAATAAGCCATTAATCATAAAGATTGTAGCTTCTCAAATACAAAAAAATATTTTTGTTACATTATTGTAAACTAGATGGTTTTTTGACTGCTGTTTCTTTAAAATAAGAAACAACAAAACAAACAACACATGAATTTGAGCTGGACTTGTAATGCAGATGCTTTCGGCATCTTAAAGACTTGACAATATCAGTCATATTAATATTTTGTGTCCATTTTCTCTATCAGCAAATATTTTCTGTGAGTATCATCTATCTGGACAGTAGATCTTTTGTGGTAATCTCAAAGCAATACACACACACAGACTGACAAATTCCAAAACATAGTCAATGTTACCCTTAAAGAAGGAAAGCTGGAAGAAGGCAAAAAAACAAATCTGAGCTGATAACAACATATCTAATAAGATTCAGTCATGGCAAAGTACGGAGTGAGAGTACTGAGTTTTTAATACTGTAATTCATAAAAAATGATGATCCATTGAATTTAGGTTTTAAATGTAAAAAATAAATAAATCTTTTTCTCAGTTTGACAACTTGTTATTTGGTAAACAACTCTGGATCCTCTGATGATATTAATCAATAATTGGGTTGAATACAGCCAGTATACAAGTGCTCTGTACACACATTGATCAGAATATTTTAATTCACCAGATGAAAAATTGACGCCATCAAAAAGATATTCAGTTTTACAAATGTGATGAGATTTTCCATTTAACTTGTTTACACTTTTTTGTCTGATGTTATTTGGTTTGGTTTTCATATGAGAAAACTGTTCTACATTCAGTGTTACAGCACATCTACATGAAATGTTTTTCCTTCTGCAGAATTTCATTGTTTTCTGTGGCACAGAGCACTTCGGGTGGTTGAGGTGTGCCTTCCTGTTTCATGTGACAGGCTCGCTACAGTGTAGTGTCACTAAAGAAAAACAGGACTGAGAGAACAGAAAAAGGACAAAATATCAATAACAAAGTCCCGATTTTTGGAGGGATGTTCAAAATGGAGTTAGGTCATTCGTGCAAATTGAATGTGAGTTCATCCAGTTGTCAGTAAACAGAGTAGAAAAGGGGGAATCCTGATTCTCCTTATTTCAGTAGCTTGTTATTAACCTGCTCAACTTTTTACATTTCTTCTAAGTGCTTCCCTGGCTGAACAACATGCCATAACAGGGAGGAGTCTGAGCCAAAAGAACTTCAATGTAATTAACCAAGCAACTGAGACTTAAATTAAGCATTACTTACACTATCAAATTGCTCTCCTATTCTAGACCAACAGCTTCACCACTTTGTTTACATAAGGCCCTCTACACACAGCTATACATGACAGTGTCAAATCAAATCACTGAAAAAATGTAATAAAGAAAAACACTTGCAAAAGGGCAAAAATCAAACCACTAATATCTGTCTACAGTGTTTATAGAATGACTCAGTGTTTTAAGGGGTCATTCTTTTTCAGGGACACAACGACGCTGTCAAATCAATTTACTTTGCTTAATGAAAAGCAAATATTGAATGTTTACCTGCATTATTGTACAAATGCACAATTTAGAAGGCACTTCAATGCAATCTGAACCATGCGTTTGTACATGTGGCCTCAGGGTGCATGTGTAGTGTTGCAATAATTGCCAGTGTATGCCACTGTCATATATAATCTAGCTTTAGTCGCTGTGCTACCTATAGATTATTAGTCCTGGCCTTCCTCCGAGACAAAATGACTCATCCTTTGTAATGATGCAACTGTGTGATTCATTGACATTTTCTGCAGCAGCATCACTAGAACAGTATGATCACTTGTGCTTGGGAGCCTCTGCAACTTCTACTCAGCGATCATGATCCTAAATGCTCATGTTTTGGCCAATTCTGAAACCAACAGAGATGAAATGGTGCTGGAGTCGAGGCACAGGCAAATATTCTTAGTCGGTGCTGTGGCTTTCAATCCCAACAGATATCCATTTATCCATCCATACCATCCAACTATAAGTCTACACCGAGATAGACTAGCAATGGATGTAATTTTTGGCACCTGATCTGCCAGAGAATTATCGGCAAAAAAAAAAGTGAATACACTGGATACTAGTTATATTTTACTGATAATTACTTTGCTAATCCCCAAGGGATATTGGAGGGCTAGCATCTGCATAATAAGATACGACATAGTACACGAATAAACAATAATGAACACAAAAAATCCCAATCCCATTTGTTCTGGTGGAAATTGTAGGTTATATGAAATTAGTGTGGGGACATACTATGCATTCTTATTTATATTTAAGTTTTAAGTCATGCTCAATGTACGAAATAACATCCACGAAAAAGGTAATGTACAAAATAAAATAAAAATAAAAACAAAAAATATAAAACAGCCAATCCTAAACTGCATTCCTACAAACAAACACATTTTTCCTAGTACTACAACACAGGCTCCTTTACTAAATGTCCTTGAAAACAAACTGTCAATCAGCACAATCAACCAATCAGGCACAATGATGCACCTGATTGAAAATGGTCCCAGAGAGCCAGTACAGAATATTCTTAAATATACCTTCACATCAACAGAAACTACCAAATCATATGACTATACATTCAGAGTGACAGTGCAGAAAAAAAGAAACTCCAGTGGCCCAGCTCACTGACCACTGGAGAAATACGAACCGCCCTCACTAAGTTGCGTCTGCCCATGCTCTTGACTCTCTTGACCGCCCTCCGTTTCCTCCTGACCTCCTTCTTTGGTGGCCGGTGGTGCTCCTTTGCCCAAATGGGGTTCTCTTTTGAGAGGCTAACAAGGCCACGCAACACTATAGTCACAAACCTCTTCATCATAGCACTGCCGCTTTTACAGGCATGAGACTTAACTGTTACGCCATCCCGGGCAGACCTCTGAAGCCGACAGCGGTGCGTGCATTAGAAAAGTGCTGCAGAGGAGACTTGGGAGGAAAATACACTTGCTGTATGTGTAATTCGGAGAGGGAGGGAGGGAGGGAGGGAGAGGGAGAGAGAGAGAGAGAGAGAGAGAGAGAGAGAGAGAGAGAGCGGGAGAGAAAAAAACAGCAAGAGAGAGAGAGAGAGAGAGAGAGAGAGAGAGAGGGGGAATCACAGGGTGGTGGGTGTGGGTGGAGGGTGGGTGCCAGTAAGTCCTTCTCTTGGAAAAGTGTCCCTGGGTTGTGCTGGTGGCTGCAGCACCAACAACTCCCTGCTAATGAGAGTTGTTCGGCCACAGCTATGACTGGCAGGCAGGTAAGGGCACATTCATGTACATTCAAGAAAGAGATGATCTGTACACTGTATGTTGGCTGTGTACATAACCAGAAACATACAGCGTCTCTCTTACCCGATGTATAATGCTACAGTGGGCATCGTCTGGAGATGGGGGAATTTATCATTTAACTTCTGAGAAGGAGGGGGATGCTTGGCTGGCCCGATCTCTAGCAGGATGATTCAAACAGTCATTTCCTCTCACCATCCCTGTCACTCATTTACTCACAAAAAGGCAGCCACGATGATGGATACAGATCTGGTGGAATAGTGTTTCCTGAGAGCACAAACTTGAACTCAAAACTCCTTTTTCCATGCACAGACTTTTCTCAAATTCCCCAGGTTGAAAATAAATCAAAATAAATGGAACTCCTAAACCTATTTGCTCACATTGAGACAAAGAAACATATGGAAGAGTAAAATAATTTTAACCAAACGTGTGAAACAGAAACTATCACACTAAGATCCAGTATTAGGCCTGACTTTGCTTAATCATCTGGTCAGATACAAACACACAAATAGTAATACATAAATCCTTTCGCTGGGACATGAGCAGGTTGCCTTCAACATCCTTGACTAACAGAGAGTGTCGTGTAATCTAGACAGTTCATGCAGCCCAAATATGCCAAACACTGCCCATCTGGCTAAAAATGGCACTGAACCATATGGAGTAAAGATGAGGTCATGACATGACAAACGATGGTGAAACAAACTGTCCCCTCCAACCAGCCAGGCTCTCTGAAAGCTGAATTAAAAATGCAGCTGTTTCATTGTACAACCATAAGACGAGTTACATATAAAAATATAAATATTTTTTCTTTAACTAAGCACAAAGTTGACATTTCAAGAAGATGCTGAAGGACTACAAATCTGTGGCATTTGTGCTGTCACTGACCTCGACAACACAATTTTAACTACAGAGGCTTTGCTGTTACAGACTAATTCTAGTAGGTAACAGATTAATTTTATTTATAATTTGCATTTTTATTTGGTAAGTATCACAGTACCACAATCAGCTAGAGAGTCCCCATCCTATTATTGAATTAAGTATAATTTCAAGAAATGGCTTCTTGAGAATCAGCAATTACAACACTGATGCTGTATTTGCTGATTATGCACATACTTTACCTGTATCATATAATTATATATATATATATCATATATAATTGTACCCTCAAGTACCTGATAAACTGTTTAAAAAAGCATGTGTTCCATTGACTGAAAGCTGACTAATGTTCATTAGAGGAAGATATTAATAAAGTCTAATTAATAATGAATTGTTATTTTACCAATGAAAAAAAACAGATGGGAGTTGTTAAATAAATCAATAACTGACTCTTCATTCATCTGTTCGCAATGAGTTTGGGGGGGGAAAGGCTTAACAGTAATAGTTACATCCATTAAATGTATGACATTTTACTTACTTAATAATGTGTGCTTTATGCCATCACTGTGGTGGCTTGGCTGATGATATTTTAAACCAGCATACCTCCAAAATGAGAAAGCGACAATAAGATGCAATGTTACTATACTTTTCCTGTAAGTCACGCTCTGCCCAGCTCCACTGTGTGAGATTAATGCCACTTGACAATCTACTCAGCTCAAAAGTTCCCCTTAACAACAGAGCATTAGTCGACGCAGCCACACAGACCTAGATCTGCCAAGGTCTCATTGGCTGCTGGAGTCACGCGAGAACCGAGTTGGAGGCTGCCTCTCTGCTCGACTGGCTCTTTGACTCTGATAGCCTGTTGGTGCCACAGGGCACAAACGTGCACCAAGAATACCGTCACAGTCAGTCCTGTGAAGTCGATGGAAACGGCAAATATTGAGTGCTTTTTACTCCTGGAAACTTATAGGACTCTCTGAAGTTGTGCTTGTGAATCTATTTTAATGACAAGGAACAAAATATCACTGTGATACTGCATTCTCAACAAATACACAATCATTAGTAAACACAACTGGCCGAGACTGAATCACCTCCATTTATGATGACACCTAACTGAACCTACAGTAAACTTATCTTGTATCTAAGTTCATGTTTCCCTCCCTGAAGGCCAAATGGGCTAAAATAACTTCTCACACAGTCTATCGCTGCATTCTCTGCACTAAACTTAACAAAAGAGGTCCCAACATAGCGCTGCTGCGATAGAGTTGCCATTCAGGTGTTCTATTCTTTGCTACAGCGGGTGTCTTGAATAATAACACCAGGGAAAACAACTGAATTAAAATAGCTCTGTGATTGTACCTAGGGCTTTAAATATAGTGATCGTTTCATTTCTGCATTATTCAACACAAATTCATTGTCATTGTAAAGAGGATAGAGGGTGAGGAGTTATACTGTCCATATACAGTATTGTAATTCTACTTGCTCCGTATTGCATACATTTGCTAGCATGGAAAACATGTCCAATCTTGTGAAGAAAGCATATTTTATTCCCTGTACTAAAGGCATATAGACTTTAGATAGAACACAATCCCTATTCATCAAGTTGTGACAAGTACTGTTTGTGTTTCTGCTTCCTTGTTTCAGTCACTGTAATCATCAACATGAAAAATTTAAGTCCTGCAGCTATGGACTCATGTCACAGAGATATTGCACCCTAGAAAAAGTTGTAGTAGTCATAAATTAAGCCCACATGAACCGATCTCACTTATAGGTTAGGGAAGTGGCAGTGGGAAAAAGAACTGGACAGATATCAGTCTTGTTTTAACCTGCAGCTTGAAATGTTGCATGGATTGTGTGGAAATCAAACTGTGCCCCTAATGTACACCTGGTTCTTTCATAATTTCATGCTGAGGAACCACATGCCTATCACACGTGATTGAGGAATCCCAAATGCCACAGAGTAAAAGCTAGGTGTGCCCTATTCAAAGACCATGCTCTCATTGCTCCTCCTGTGAAGAGCATGACACCTGACAGTTTCCACCTTTCGCACAGCTTTGATTTTGTACAAAAGTGGCCAGTCCATACCTGTGAAGGCACTGATCTTGAAACGATAGATGGCAATCGACTGATTTTTTTTTATGCTAGGAGAGTAAGGGTTGTGTACACTCACCGGCATCATATTGGCAGCTCTGGCAGGTCAAAACTGTTCCCCCGCTTATCTTCTATGGCCCCAGCGTAGGGTCGACAGAGACCCACCTTGCTAGTTACGGGTTCTGGTTACTCCAGTGACAACCAACTGGGCCTCAGTCCTCTCTGAGAACCAAAACAGTGGAATTCTGTAGAGTACTATAAAACTGAACATAGTAAGGTATTTGACGTAGACTTGTCAAAATAACACATAATGTTATCAACCAAAAAACGCTGATTTAAATGGTCCAGGCGTGGCTCCGTGCAGCTGCTGCTACAAACAAGCCGATGGTTAGCCCTTCACTGTTAGCTCGTAAAGCGACGCTGAGGCAGGTAAAAAAACAAACGACATGCAACGCCTTGCTGTTATCAAGTAATGGCATGCTAATTACACTCACCAATGTCAGAGACGACTCATTGTTTCAGCCAGTAAATCTTTGCTACGTTACTGTTAAAGGCACGAGCTAACCGGACCAGCTGTCAGCCAGCCAGCTAGCGTTATCTCCAGTGAAGTGTTAGCTGTGTTAGCTGGTTTCAGAGGCGGCTAGAGGACGGTATGCAAGGCGTTCTCTCCGCTCCCCGTCTGTCCTTAAGCTCGCACTGGCTGCACATCGGCACAAGCTATCGATGGAGTGTGTTTCAAGCAAACGAAAATGGATAAATATCCACACAGGTCGGTTAACTCGTTTTTTTACGAACGCAGTAAATCACCGTGAGCAGGCTAGCGATGAAAATACAAATAGCTGGAATCCAGTTGTTGACGGCAGGGAGGGGCGGGGCCACACCACGGCGGCGGCGACGGTGACGCGTCAGCGTAGAATGTCAAATATCTAACGTCACCGGCCAGGTCAGCGAGCGCCTGGATACTGATTTATCTTTAGTTCAACTTTCTCCAACACAGACATCTTCATCGAAAGTGGAAGATTAAATTTAAAGTAGGCTAATCTCGCCGGTGCGTTGGAGTTAATCACTGGATCAATGATCGAAAACAGGTCCGAGGATGATGGTATACCAACAAGTTGTTTTGTTGTTTGTGCAGGTTTTGATTTAAGTTAAAACTTGGTCTTGAGAAATGCTGTCATTTGCTATGAATGCTGTATGGCAGCTTCTAATAGACTTATTACATGTGCTGTTGATGACATGTTAAAGTTTTAGGCACCTTCTTCATCATTTCAGCAAGTTCATGATGACAGTGCTTGGAATAGCTTTTTCTCTCTCGAGTCCTACGTTTCTCAGCACTGACGCACAAACTTGCAAAACGTCAGGCTGAAATAAATATGTGGATAATCTATGAGAGTATTCTTACTTTTATTTAAAATGTTCTTTGCAGTGAAAACATTAAATTAAAACAGCACCCAAACAAACTTTAGACCCTCGGTGAGAAGGAGGAAAAACTCCCCAATATAAATGATGAAAGTAAAAAGTAAAAGAGTGGGCTGGTGGTAAGTTTGTGTGTCATTGAGAAAAGTTTTTGTTCCTACAGTTATGTTTTAGGTATGGAACTTTTTTTAAATTAAAGTGCAACAAAAAATATTTGGTAAGTTGTCAAATTAAAGTTCTTGTTCAATAAAATTTGCATATTAAATATAAATATTTTTTCTGAGAATGCATCAGAAGATAAACAGTCAGTAGCAGCTCCACAGTAGTCACTAGGCCCTCTGCACCAGCTGTATGATACTCTTAATGTTGTATGGGCATTTAAGTCTCTCTCATTTAAAAAAAAAAAAAAGTTATCAAACAACAAAATAGCTAAATTTGAGGAGGTGACCATGGGACTCCCTCAAACTGGAAGGTAACAGACAGACATCAACATTATGGACTGTGGCGAACAGAGTTGCTTGTAAATGCCTGTTGGCAAGTGGCACTTTGTATATGTTTTTAATGTTTCCTACCTTATCACTTTTAATTGAGTAATAAAAAGGATGAAAGTTACCTTATGAGTCCCATTGGTGCATGTGGACCTTGCTCCTTCATAAAACAAAAAATAATCACCATGAAGTTACACTAGTGACATCAAGTGGTGAACAGAAAGAACTGATGTTGTTATGAAAAGTGTGACTGGTAAAGCGTCTTGACTCACTGTGAAGTGATGACTTTGTTTTGAAAAGTAATCCCGCAATTTATTTTAAAAAAGCGATATAATATTGTTCAGAACTGAAATATAGGCTACACCAAATTGTCATCACTAACACACGTATATTAATAAAATGGAAAATATATTAAATCTGATTTTTTAAAGATAGGATCCTGGTTTAGTGATTGTTTTTACAAAGGAAGAAGTTACAAAACGTTTGAAGTTAAAAATAAGACAATTCGTTACAACATTGATGTGATTTGCTTATGTCTAATTATACAAATCAATCTGAAAAAAATAACTGAATAATTTAGGTAAATTATCTCTCTGATGTGGCTTAATGAAAACAAACAGCTAGCTGCCAATGTCTAATGAGCCATCTTTCATGTGAATGGACACAAAGATGTATAACACACATCTTTTTGAGTAGTCCAATTGGAAATTCACAGATTTGGCCAAATTTTGAACACAAACCTGGCAACGAAACCTTCAGATGTGCATCCACTGGCACCTGCTGCCAATGAACATAATCTCAAAAGCACTAATGGAATCTAATAGGAACCCTTGTATCATTGTTTGCTGTGTTCAGGCCCATTAGGACCTCCAGTATTCTCATGGTAATCTAATGTTTGTGTTTTTTGTCTTCTCATAATGAATTCTGTGTTTTTCCTCAAAACAGTGTTGCTCAGACATTTGTGTAGGTGCTGGCAGAGAAACAAAGACGTACATTAGGAACCATTGTCCCATTATTTGGAGTTTCTCAAGATCTTTTATTAATATTATATATATTATATTATTTTAATATTAAAAAAACATTGTAACCCAGTGCATCAGATAGATTATGACATAAGATGTCAAATCATACACACAAAGTTAACATTCAAACAAAAATAATTTAAAAAATAAGAAATTAATTTTGCTTGTTCCTTCCTGACAAATACCGACTTAGTTATGGAAAAAAAGTACAATAAATGACTTTTTTTTATGTCATCTGTGATTTATGTATATGTATATATATATATATATTATATCAGTTATCAGTACTCAAATTAGTGTTCAAGGTTTGTATTTCAATACAATATAAATATTCCAAAAGCTGAAATTTGTTGATGGTCTAGTTACACAGCATGACATTTCAAAGGACTAGGTTGCACATTTCAAAGATTATTCGTGGAAACTCAAAGTTTTACGGCTTCCACCCAACTGAGTCAACACACACCATGGAGGAATACAGTACATAATTTCAACTCATTAATACAACAATGTTAAAACAGATGGAAAACTGATTTAAAATTGCACTTGGTGAGGCAGAATGACAAGAAATAACCTGCCAACATCAAACAGGATTGTTGCACCTTTGAATACGTTGATGCTCTTCATTTGACCTTGCCGCGAGTCCTCAGCTGAGAAAGCACGTTGTCTACCTGCAACAGAACAGAAAAAGGAACTTATACAGTATTCACAATATTGTGGTTTGGCATAGTGCTAATTAAAAGTTCTTATAAATCACATTTATACAGAAGAAAAAATAATAGACAAACAAGGCACAACAATGAAGAGATCGTGGCTCATTTACTCATCGCTATAGGAGCTGTTTGTAATTGAATAATTTAGTGATTAATGAAATTAGTCATTTATGATAACCTGCTACAAAATGTAAATAAATGATGTTTTGTAGACAGCCTCAAGCCTCCATACAGAGCTGCAGTGATGAAAGACACCGGAAGACTCACTGTGATGAACCAGTGAGACTGCGGCCCGTAGCGAAGCTGCGACTTTAAGTTCATCTTACTGGCTGGAGCCAGAGCGTGGAGGTGGAGGTGGGGAACAGATGAGAACGGAGGCAGATGAAACCCCATCCTGCACAGATAAAGACCTGTGATGTAAAGCATCAGGGTAATTCTTTTAAAAAGTATGAGTCACAACTGAAGTGATCTCAGCACATGGGAAATAATTTACCTGACGTCATCTAGGTCGCAGACTTTATTCTTCTCCAGTATACTCCTTCCCATTTTTTTCATCCGCTCCACTATCAACAAAAAAATTACATTGATATGGCCCATTCATAAAGCCTCAATTGCTCAAAAAGACAGCACACAAGAGTAGACAGCAGAATGATTGTTGTGTAAAATTACAAAAGAAGAGTAGGCTATATTACTCATCTCACTCTTGCAAGTCCACAAGGGACAGTATCTCAGGTACACCTTTGCTTTTCAGCAAGGATTTTTGAAATTCATGGGGAAAAAACATTCTCAGTACTTAAGGACAGCAATATATATTCATTCAGTGATATCCAGTTAGTACAAGATAATAACTGGAGTCTCTCATTCACAGTTGCAGTGTGCTTATACATTTACATTAGTGTTTAAGAGAGGGAGAGAGCTTAAGAGCTCAGGTTTCTACTCCGCAGGACCGTCTACTCATATCATTTTGTGCAAAATGTCTTAAGTCAGAGAGGATCCTTTCTCCTGTCACTTTGAAACGACTTCCTCAGATGCAGTGAGTGGCTTTTTGGTGCCATTTTCACGTGCCACATTCTGGCTTCACTGAAACCAGACACTAAAACTCCTTTGGGTGCAAGCACAAACATCTGGAGGGTCACTGACACTTCTTAATTTTGAGTATCATCAAGACTCCAGTTTCCAGCTTTGACAATACTAACTGAACTGTCCTGGCATTTACAAGTAGGTGACGTCTCAGAGTGGGTGACATTCTCCTAATAAACCAAACACTGCTGATTCAGCTTCCTCCAATGAACCGCTACCAATACTCATAGCTTTTTGACGTGAGGTCAGAGCACTGGGCAAATCAATAGCAGTCCAAATTCACCACTTAAGCTCGGGACTCGCTCACCTAGAGGGATGTTGTCCCCCTGGAGAGTTTTACAGTTGTCAATGTGCCTCCTGGAAACAACGAGGTAGTGATGTGTGGCGCCGGGCTTCACGTCGCGAAAACAAACAAGCTCATCGTCCTGTTTAGGGACAGAGGGAACGTCAGGAAATTCCTGTTGTTGAAGTTTTTTAATGAGTCGCAGGGAGTATGTACTTACACTCAGCAAGATTTCTGTGTCAGTCTGGTTGTTTGCTATTTGGCAGAAAGGGCAGCCCTCGCTCCCGGAGACGTCCTGAGACCCCATCACTGCTTTTATTAGAGTTAGACTATGAGCTCATCGCTGCTAGGTTGTCTGGTCTCGACAGACTACAGACCTTAACACATGGGCGTGTCTGCAGCCAGGAGACAGGACAACCAGTGGGAGACAGAGCTAATCGAGTCGGTCCACTGCTGCGTTCACGGGACCCACGTTAATTCCTATTTCAAAGAACTTGAGCCCTTAATACAATTTGTCATGGCACCAAGGAGTTCATGTGTCAACCAACACAGTATATTGTATTCAGTGGTTAACGATTACTGTCAAATGAATATATGCACATATAATGTTTTAAATGGTTAATTAAAAGAATGGTTCGACATTTTGGGAAATACACTTACCCTTTCTTTCCAAGCAAGCTGCTGCAACGCTAGGGCAGAATAAAAACTAGAAACAGGGTGGGTTTTTTTTACACTTTGGTTTTTGTATGAGATATGATGTGTCAGGGGAGTTTTAGTGAGCTCATAGGTGGGTTTGTTACTGATGGATAGAGCCAGGCTAGCTGTTTCCCATCACGGTTTCCCCCCATTTCCAGTCTCTGCTATGCTAAAATAACAGCTTTTATTGATAATGGGCAGATATTGGTATCAATCTAGGCAGGAAAATAAAAGTAAATTTGCAGATATAAAATGTTGAACAATTAATTCTAACTCACGTTTCTAATACAGTTACATACAATTACACTGAGCCCAATAGAAAACCTTCAAATCCCAAAATATCCTCCAGGCTCTAAATTGGATTACCAACAGGGAAAGTGAGCTACTGACGTGTAGACCCAGCCCTTCAGACGTCCTGACCACAGGCCCTGACATGTTCACCATGTTGCAATCACTTTGTGTTAATGTAGTTCACTGCATTGCAGTTCTAAAGAACAACATAAACTGACATGATAAAGGCCTTGAGGTGATAATTACCTCCTCTTGAAGCTCTGTGTCTCAGAGGGGTGATGTGCCAATACTAGTTTTAATTTCCTTATTATTTCAGTTGATATTTATGCATACATGGTACATATTCTTAAAAGTCTGTTAAAAAATATTCAAATTGACACACAGCAAACATTTAGGCAGCAGGTAAAAAACTCTTTTTAGTAAATAATTTCATTTTAAAAAAAATCCAATGCATCTCAACAAGTGATCACACATTGCGCCACGCTGGTCAATGGTCTCAATTCACTGACCTCTTATATCATCATAATATCAACATCATAAAAATATCATACAAGCATAATTCATTTCACAACTTGTTTGCTCTTGATTTGTGTCGCATGTGTTAGTTTCCTGATGATGTTCTGTATTTGTCTTTCATTGTGGCTGATTCTGCTTCGCCAACTCATCTGAGTAATCCAAAGTCCAGTTTGGGACCTTCTGGCTCACAGACATGACAGACAGCTGTTGAAAAACTGAACTGGTGGAGCATTATCTTTTAGCCTTTTTCGGAGACGTTCTTCCTGCAAAGAAAAATACATTCATTTAAATAAGGCACAGAGATTGTCAAGATCAAAGGAGGATGCACACTGAAGTCATTGTATATGTTTCACTATCTACATTTACATTATGTTTAGCCATTTGACAACAAAAGAAAGAGTACAGTAAGGGCGCATTTCTAAATACTATAAATAATTTCACAGCCATTAGAATTATAAGAGAATTGATAAATAGAATCAATAAAATAAGGAGGAAGAGTGCAACAGAGGGAATTTCTAGTCTTCAGCACTCACAGTAATAAAACTTGAGGTCCCTGGAATGAATTTATAAATCATGTAGTTAGAGATTTGGCTGCTGGGGGCGAGCACATGGAGATGTAGGTGATCTACTGAAATGTAGGGCGGTTTGTGGAACCCCAGCCTGTGTAGGAAAACACATCAATGCTATCATCAGCACACTGAAAAGCAGCTTCCAGAAGAGGAATGAAAAACGTCAGCAACTTGTAAACTTTGATTTTTGACAAAGTGAGTGTCTCCACCTACCTTATGTCCATCATATCAGTGATCCCTTGTTCACGTAGTACAGCTTTCCCCATTTCAGCCATCCTTTCAACTGTTGGATACATGACAGGTTTTTTATCTGTGAACATGTGGTTAGATAAAATACAATCTGTATCCGCTTATAGGCAGCGTGACCTCTGCCACCTGTGCTACCAGAGATGGTGCAGCAGTAGTAGCAGCAGTTGTAAAGGTCTGCAAATAGTATCCTACTGTAAGTAAGAATAAATGTGCTGGCAAGAGTATTAACAGCAGTATGTTACAGCAAAATCTGTAGTATGAGCAACAGCAACAACATTATAGCAGTAAATTATAATTATTCTTTATTAGTTGCAGCAGTTGGTAAAGATCCATTTTCTAACTGACCGAGGCCAATGTGATCCCTTTGCAAGGAGAGGCAGCTGTGTATGTGGTGTATGGGTATAACCAGGTAGTGGTGAGGAGCAGCAGGGTCGATGTCCCTGAAACACACCAGCTCCTTATTCTGTGGGCAGAATACATAAGTCAGCGAATGCAGGATTGTTAAAACTCATTGTTCAATCTGTCACAGTGGTATTTAGTAGGAGAAAGAGGGAAAAACCCTCTGTTAACATAAACCACCTTGTGGGTTTGCTGCTGTCACACAACTGCCACTTTCTGTCTGTCTTGAGTCCTTTTCATTGTTTGCACTGTCGTTTATCAAAAGCCTCACTGACAAATTCACTTTAAAAGGCTTCAGAAAGGGGTTTGCGCTGATGGCTCTCTACACAGCAGCGAGCATCTCTGTGCTTGGTGCTTTGGTACCAAGAGGTGACACAGGTTTTCATCTGTTATTCCGTTACTTCCTCAACACAAGAACTGAAAATCACACAACTTCCTAACTCAAAACGCATCTTAAACCTTTATGATGATTATGTGAATTTAGTTCTTAACTTAAGAATTTAATGTAGGCCTACTCTTGATCTTCTACTTGAAAATATTGCCTGAATGTAAAGTATTCATGATTATTTATTTTAGAAATGTATAAAATATAAAACATTTTCCATAAAATGCAAAGTTTCCTCCTAGCACTTCTTAAACCGACACTGTTGGAAAACTGTAACACACTGTTTCTGTCTGAGCTGAACTTTACTCTTGGATCTTACCTTTTTAACAACTTCAGCTTCTTTGTCTTGGTTGTTGGCTATCAAACAGAAAATACAATCTTCCACTTTTCCTTCACTGGGGTCTGATCTGCTTCTCGCCATATTTCCTTTGTGCCTATATGTTACCTGACATGATATGATACCTGCTGCCCTCTCCTCAACTCACTCTGCCGGTAACTTGTGACTTTGTGATTAAAACCATGGAGACACGCTCACTTCCGTATTGGTTGAGGTTAGGGCCGGAGTCATGTGCTTTCGTCATACGGAAGTCGTCATGGTTTCATCAAAGATCCTCTTCTACACACAGGTTTTCTGGGAAAGGTGGGTTTTAAGTGTCCTAAATCCATACCAAACAACCCTGGGTCAGTTAGTGACGGCGTAATTCTGACGTATTTTACTGACATTTAAAGGGCGTTACAGAGTTAAAATAAAAGTAACCCAGAACAGAAACAGAACATGTCACGCACGGTTATGGTTCATGATCTTAGCTCGCACGGCTAATGGTAAGAATATTTGGGTTCACAGCAATTATGGTATGCCTCGCAAATCCTTAAAATATTATTAAAAAAAAGGCCTAGGGCTGATTCAATTGTAGTAACTGTGTTACATTTTTTGACATTAAAGCGCTGGTGCTACAGAGATGTGATACAGTGATGCCTGGAAAAAAAAGGTCTTGACTCATCTTCCTCGCAGCTAGTCTGATTTATCATGTCTGTCAAACTAATTAATTTAAAACTGAAACCGAGGCAGTGCTAATCTACCGAGTGTTACATCTTCTCAATTACCAATCTTTGAGTGGATGATGAATTACATCCAGGTGTCTTCCGTCAATCCAATCAGTAAAGTCTTCTTTTTCTGCTTCTTTTTATGGGCTCAAATTAGGGCCAATAAGATTTTGAGCTGGTAAAGTGATGAACTCAAATAATTCTAAAGATTCCAAAGCCAGAAGGAGTGTGTGTATATTTGTAATTATATATGAATGGCATCTGTACAAAGCTTTACTTATTGTGTGCAAATCCTTTGTTCATTGAACATTCAGGATGCACAGTGCAGACAGTGAGAGATGTTAGTTGTTACTGTAAGACAGCATTGGGAAACCCTGTTAAATAAAAACTAATGACTGATCTCAGTCCGGTCGCAGCAGAATACCATCAACAGAATACAATTTAAAATATTGTCATTAACTTGAATTGAGGGATTTCTACATCAGTCACCTGCAATCCTGTGGAATTTCTCATTGATGGCCCTCAGAGGTTTATGCCCAGGGAACACTACTAAATGGGCAGTAGGCGTTTAAGTTACGATGATAAACGACCCAGAGTTTGAATTACCTCTCCTCCTGGATCAGAAAACCCAGAGTCTCCCTCATCTCAGTGTTAACAAACTGAGAGTCTTCACTAAACCCAGGGTCTATTCCAGAAAGCAGGTTTAACAAACTCTGAGCCAAACCCTAAACTGAGTTGATGAACCCTGGACATTAAATCCCACTGAATAAAAGGAATGGAAATGAACATGTGGGAGATGAAAGTAGGGACATAAACGACACAATGTGTTATCATGTGTGTATATTTAACATTTATTTAGGTTTAAATGTGGTTGCAATAACAACACAATAAATAGATCCTTAGTGATATCACAGAACACAGCAGTTTTGGATTCACAAGAAATAATACTTAGGGAACATTCACAGTAACAACACTGAACAGCTACAGACAACAGAGCTCATTTTCACATGAAGCAATAACTGGCATTAGTGAATAGTATGGTAGATATCATAACAATGGTGTCGGACATTTGCAGTATTGCATATTCATGCACTACAAGCCTGTGTCACCTACACAGGATATAAATGAACATTTCTTTTCCATGTTAGTAGATTTGAATTTTTAGTTAGTGGTATATCAGAGTGCAAAAACAGATAATCCCTTTTCCGCCCATTTTTAGGTAAAGCAGACGCTGACCTGTGGTTGGACAGGCAGCTTTCCTATAGTGGTGATCACATAACATTCAGTAACAAATTTTATATTGAAGAAATGCTTAATTACATGGGGCCATAACACAGCAAGGACTGTTAATTAGTCCTGTAGTGAAAAATGACATCATGTTCAAACTCTACTGGCTGTAACTCTCTCAACAATGACTACAAATGAAAACCAAAGAGATAAAATTAGTCAGCGTGACATGAATCCGATACTGACAATAGTAATTATCTAGTGCTTGTTGGGTCCAATCTGAAAACAGAAATATTAAGCACTACATTTTTTAAAAAGTAGAACCATTAAAAAAAAAAAAAAACAATATTTATAAAAACAGAATGCAAAAATAAAAAATTTAAAATATTTTATAAAATATGACAAGCTCACAACAAATATGAAATTAAAAAGAAACATATTTGGTCATTGCAAACATTTCCTGGCTTTGTCACTTATTTTGGATTGTAGGGGGAATGAAACTTTATATGAAATCATGAGGAAATGCAATGGAACATTCTCATTCGGTTAATCTAAAACTCAAAATAAAGGGACAAGACGGCCTTTAGAGGAAGTGCAACACTTCCATTGTAAACAATCACTACGTTTCCCGCATTGAAAGTAATTTAATGATAGAGGATGTAATATCCTTCCTGGTATTTTTTTCTTCAGGTATAAAGTCCATAGCGTTTTAAAAAAAGATATGCCGTCCAAACATCTTCGGTGCATCACCCTGTACATTCCCACACATACAAATTACATCAACCATTATTTCTGCAACAAACCTACAGTATTATGGGACATCTTATTCTTTCATACACACTTAAAAATCAGCTCTTTTTGGGATTTCCTCATTAGCAGCCTTCGTCGTCCCTCTCTCTTCATAAGCTTGTGGTGGTAAGGCAGTCTGCATGCTGGGAAAGCTGGGGCCGTTGTCACATGTCTAAGGCAGCCAATGAACTGAGAGCAACAGCATTTTCTTACACTTCCACCTTTGAAGGAAGACGCAGACATAAACTGGCCAACCTACCTGCAGGTCAAACCCACGTCAAAACAGGCTACAGAGGACAGACGTTTCCGCTCTGTTTTCAGTCAGCATGAACACTCCACAGGTGCCGCTTTCTGTCCTCTCTCACAGAGCATTTAGTGTCGTTGTGGGGTAGCTAGGTTTGCCTCCAAGTGGTGCGTATTAGACTTGGGGTTGTTTGAAGGTTTGGGGTTGTGGAGCGGAGCGTGAATGTAGAAGTAGCTAGTATAGAGCAGGCCAGGCTATTCGAAGGTCCAGACCTCAAGACTGTGGATGCTGAAGTCCTGCTGGGCGGAGAGTGGCTGGTTGTTGAAGGTGGCGCATTTGGTGGTGGTGCCCCGGTAGAGCTCGGCATCCAGCCACAGACCCAGCTGACCACTGCAGAGGAGGGGGCAGAGACAGGAAGGAAGACGTTAAGGAAAAGGTGCACATCATTTGATGAGAAAGTGAGAAAAGAGTGTAGATTATTGAGAATTCTACATTAAATAAGCTATAGTTACAGATCTTACCCTCCTCCTCCCATCTGCAGAGAATCAGTACTGCCTTTCACAAAGTAAGAATTCTCCCCCGTCCACCGGTACACCTGAAAATATACAGCAAATAATGTCTGAATTTGCAGTTTGAGGAATAAAGCTAAACACCCAAAATTAGTTTTTAAACCAACTTGGTACAAACCTTGATTTCAGGACAGAAGCTGTAGAGGAACGTCTCTCCTGTGCCATAGCAGTGCTCGCTCACTCTGAAGGGATGAGTTGAGAATGCCCCAAATATCTGTGACAAGAGTCAGAATTAATTTAAGATTTTTTTTTTGACTAAAGTGCATCTTTTATACTACCACAAGGTGTCAACAAAATCAAAAATGGTTTGTATCCCAAACACAGAGGCATAATTGAATGAACTGTTTCCAAAACTTAAAACCCCTTGTGTTGTTCTGGGAGGATGTGACTTAATTAACCATAAGGGGGTGAGTGTGTGCACGAATAATGCTGCCTTGACAGGGTTAAATAAATACCTCATAGACTAAAGATCCATACACTGACAGACATGTTTAAATTTACTGTGTGTGACTTCTTGATTTTGAAAAGGAGATCAAATTAAATTGAAAACTTTGTAATATAAGAAACACAGCAACTACACAATTTTACAAACTACTGACAGTTTCTCCCATTACATGGGTCTATTACTGTATTGGAAAACCCTGAAATATACAGTGAATTCAGTGAATACTGAATATTCAACTCAGACCAAATGCTCAGTCCACACCTTTAACGCTGCAATGGGGTTGACAAATGAAAGACAAAGACAGATGAAATCTGCTGCCAACATTTGGGTTGCTCAACACTCGGTGGGCTAACACGGGTCCAGAGCAAGAGAAAAAAAAATGAAAAAATAAAAAATGAACTTTGTGGAAATAACCTGGTCCCGAATCATAAACCCAACACAAACCCACACAGAAAAATATTAGTTGTTAAACAACAATGTCCACTCATATATGGTAAACATGCATAACCTATTTATGTTCTGCAAAAAAAAAAACTAAAAAAAAAATTCTTGTATATTTTTGCTAAATTAAACTCAAATCACAGAAAAAATGTGTTTCTCCATAATGTAAACTACTATTCTATACATAATATAAAGTCTTTGCAGAGATGACATCACTGGTAAAGGCTATGAATGCCATCTACTGATGATCAGTGGCCACTGCATTTGACTGCTGTTCACCTCCTCTATTATCAGCCAGTGAGTAAATCCACATGGACAGTATCTAACCTGGTTATCCATGTCTTTGATGACCAGCAGAACAGGGCTGTCCACATCTGCCAGGTTTCTGTACAGAGTCTTGAGGCTGGTTCCATTTCTCTCGGTGCTGTAGGCCAGTCTCCAGGGGTAACCCTGCACACGGGCTGGCAGGCGACAGGCAAGCTGGAGAACAAACAGATTACCAGATTATGAGACGCACTGCCGAGCATGTTGCATATTTCTTCCGCAAAGTTGAATCATTTTCTTATCAGTAAGCGGGTAATTTTATTTAATCACCTTCTCAATGTGTGTATCCTGCAGCAGGTCACTGGTATCACTGAGTATGGGCAGTGCATCCACAGACAGGTCTCCGTCACAGCTGCCAAAACTCTGCCTGCGCTTAGCCTCATCAATGGTAATGATCTAGAAGCAAAACAAGGTTATAAGCAAGTCAAAATCTGAGAGAAATCAGTGACACAGGGATCTTATTATCTATGCACAACAGGGAGTCAGTCATAAATAAAGCAATATATAAAAACTGAAGTCTTTTACTCGGCTGCACTAAAACCAACAGCACGTCGACAAACTGGCCTTTTCCACTCAGCTCACCTCCCAGCTGCAAGATGCAGGGTCACTGAAGAAGTTATCGATCATGTCCAGCTCATCTTTCTCCACCACAACAAAGCCCTGCTCTCGAGCCTCCTTCCCATACACATCCGGAGACCACTGCACAAAAAATGCATAGAGATGGTCCACCCTGGAACACACATACCATGTATAAGAGAGGTTAAAAATCACAGACGGCTCACAAACCACCAGATTCCTCAATGAGTCAGACTGTTCATGGTTAGTTAGTTTTTGCAAAAGCAACTAGGCAACAGAAAGTTATGAGTGTCACTTTTTATTTATTTCATTGCTGGATTCCAGTACAGACAATATACTAGAATTTTTGTATGATGACACAGTCACTGTCTCACCTTTCTTGTGGCACAGCGAACCAGTACTCTGGCTGCTTCCCACGGCCCCCAAAGGAGTGGGCAGGACTAGAGGTCATGCCGGTAGCAAAGGACTTCCTCATTGGCTTTCCCACTTTGAAGCAGAGGAACATTGGAGGGTTTTTACTCTTCTCCTCTGATGAAAAAAGCATGTCTGTACAGAATAGGGAACCAAAAAAAGAGAGAAAATTATGCTAGTTTAATGCCACATTCATTGACTTCATTATATCCCCTGAAAGTACCCAGACATCCCAGATTTCTTTTTTTTGATGAGGTTGTGCTTTGTCACAGTCTTTTTTTTGATTCTACCACCAGGAGTCACCAAAATCTGAAATGTTTAAATTCTGCAAATAATGGTGATTGAGAGTCTTTCTCCCCTTTTATTTATACGTGACAATTGTGACATAAAAAGATAGGACATTAAAGAAAATAATTTAAAAAAGAAAGCAAGAAGAAATACATACATGAACATTTGTTTCGATTTTAAGATTTGGGAGTGTCTTTAGACACTGATATTCCTGACATTCAACATATAAACTGCCAAATAACTACAATAACTGTGACAATGGATTTAATATCTTTTTACAATGTCTACCTTCTATTGGAGCCTGCATCCTCTCCATCAGCCATGACTTCACTTCTGCTTCATAGTTTTTCTTCCGTCTCTCCTCTTCACTGAGTTCGTCCTCCTCGGCTCGTCTGTCCGAGCTTCGTCTCTTAGGACTGGAGTTCCCATGAACCTCTGCAGCTTCAATCAGACTCAACTTCCTGTTTTGGTCCACTGGTGCGCTGATTATCTTATCATCTACACCATTTAGCAGCTCTTCCGTCCCTTTAGGTTTGATGTCTTTGGTTTTGGTTACGTCTTGGCTTGTAGGTTTATCGCGCGAGTAGCCCTGTTTCTCAGTCTCTGAGGAGGATTGTATTGACTCTCCATCCTCGATGGAGCTGTTCTGAGCTACACCTTCATCTTCTTCATCATCCAGCTTCCCTTTAGTTTGATCAAGCATCGACTTGTCTCCTCTGCCTGGGCAACTTGGTCCTAGGAGTTTCTGTTGGTCCCTGCTGAGGATGCTGGATGTTCTGGAGGTTGTTCCCTCTGCTTCTTCAGTGCTCCCGTTGACAGTAGGCTCCAACTCTGTGAATCCTTCATCTGACGGAGACTTCTCTGTCTGCTCTCCCTCTGTACTCCCTGGTATTGAAGAGATAAATCAGGCTTTGTTTAAGATCAACACATTCTACTCTAGAGCTGCATCTACAGATTATTTTCATAACGATATTTAGTTTAAATATTTTGCTTAAAAACTGACATAAATGATGAACTGATAATCAAAATTGTTGCTGATTAATTATCGAGACAATCAATCGACATGTGAAAAAGAACTTGATGAGGAATCAGCGAAAGTTAGGAACCGAAATGTTTGGTCACAGAAAAGGATCTGAAAATCCACTTTCATTCAATTACTAGACAAATAAAAAGAAGAACATGCACCTGTCGATGCTGGACAGTAAATCCAAGTTAAAAGACAACCACCATTTGGGGAAGTGGATCACCCGTGCCAGAACTGAATGACACAATCTTACCAGTTTCAGAGAGGGTTGATTCAATGTCGTCCAAGACGATGGGTCGCTTTGGTTCCAGAGCTTCGTAGCGGCTGAAGGGGTTTAAGTCCCGCTCTGACGGGAGCTGCTCCCACTCACCAGGCCTGTACACAGGACACAGATCCTGGGGTAGGTCTCTGATGGGTCACCGGGCACCACACATACCGCACGGCAAACGAGGATGAAAATGAAAAAAGGGAAAAAACAAAAAAAGGACAGTTCCAACAGAAATTAAAAATGAACAAAATGATAAACAACTTAAAAAAAATAAATAAATAACAAATGTGATGAAAAAACAGCAGATCATTTAAAATAGGAAAAAAAATATGAAGAATAAATTAAATATGTAAGATTAAAATTACAAACTAATGGTGGAAACTAAGGGGAGTTTTAACTTGGATCCACATAGACAAGACCCAGTGGAAACAAAGGCGCTCTATAACAGACAACAGACAAACTAAGAGATGTGGTAAAGACGCAAATTTGAAAAGTTCCAGAAAGCGAAAGGTTTGACACAAACAGTTTTATTGTTGGCAAGGACTAGAAAGCAGAAACTGGAGGAGGAACAAGAAAGGAGGAATAAGAGTTACAAAAGAGGGAAATGAGGAGAGGGAGACGGTTGGGAGATCTTACGATGGAAGGGCGTCTTTGAGCTTCATGCGCGACACGTCGTCGTACAGCGCTACAGAGACGACCTCTTCCATGGGGCAGATGAGGCCGTACTCCTCACAGCCGTGCTCGATCACCAGGGGGTCTGACTTGTGGGGGTCAAACATGATGTTGTTGGGGGTCACGATCAGCACGCCTCCCACCACTCCCTGCAAGATTACAATAAAACAGGGAGGGACGACAGAGATTCTTGGTCAGAAACAACAAAGAAAGAGTGGTACCTGTTGGATATAATTTGAATTCGGTCAATATTTTAGTCATCATTTAATTGATATATTATTACACACATTAATTACATTTAACACTGTATGTATTTATTGATAGACTTTTTTTGTTTAGTATATAAAAAGAAAAATGACTGTGCTTTCTTCTTACCATGCCATCAGTGAAATACTTGCAGCTCATCTTGATGAATTTAACAGTCGACGGGCTCTCGTCCTCTGAGTTCGGGGAGAGCTCACGCCGGATGGATTTTGCTGACCTGCAGTTTGAAATGCCATCCTGTTGGACATAAAAAAAAAACCAGATCAGAGACCTGATTGTTATGCTTTGCTATAGCTTGATTGTGTAGTGCTAGCTTGAAGTGTGTAATGCAGTGGTTTGTGGTTTCAGTTCTCATCAGTGTTTGCTCTTTACTGACTCAGAATCAGAGATTTAAGCCACCAGAGCCAAACATTTGTTCCCCGCTTTTTAAAATAACATTATGTCTGAAGTAACTTTTTCACTTGACTGCCAAATGCTGGTCGATTCAATTACCCTTCTCTGCAAACTGGCAACATATTCAGTCCCCACTGTTTATGCACTAAACATTAAAAACTGCTCACTCATACTCAATTGTAATGCATCATGGTGGGCGGCAGAATTTGAATTATGGGAGAATAATAAAACACTTTGTAGCATCAAAGCCATGATTTTACTGGAACCAGTCAGTGTGGTCAGAGGACAAAGTTTGAAAGCACAGAAGATCCCCTGTATATACTCCTGTTTCATCCTCTAATTAATTAATGTGCAACTCCTCCAAGATGTATGCCTTTTTCACAAAGTTGTCCCTAAACAGCTGCTGTAAACTACAGCAAAAAGCACCATGCAGTGTAATCAACATAATGAAACTGGTTTTCACTTACATTTAATGGTTTCTCAGACAAACCATTTGTGAGGGTGGGATCAGAGGAACTCTGAGACTTTACTTCTGTTTCTGGCTGGCTCACATCAGGGACAAACAGCTTCTGTAGTGGGGGCCAACGACCAATGATCAGCAAGTCACATAAATAATGCAGAGACCGGGAGCAGCATAATGTGGTGCAGTTAGTGTTCTCACCTGACCGGGGTAGACGCTGCGAGCAAAGAGCTTGTTCAGCTGGACCAGTTTGTTTGGGGTGATGTTGAACTTGAGAGCGATGCTGTTGAGGGAATCGTTAGGTCCCACCTGAAACAAGAGATCAACTCCTGTGAGAAAACACTACATGATGCAATCTACAACCTTCCTGTCAGCTAGCCAGACATTTAAAGTGTGCTATCAGTGCAGTGCTACTCACAATGAACTCCACTGTCCCCGGTGGCCTCCTCTTCTCCTTCTTTGCCTGATTGTTACTTTTTCAGCCATCATCTGAGAGAGAGAGAGAGAGAGAGAGACCGAAAAAGAGAAAGGGATTTTGCAGATGGAGAGACGTTACCAACCTGACAATATTCTCATAGGAAAAAAAAAAAAAAAATTATTCTTGAGAGATTAATAAAGTGTCCGCCTCATACTTTCTAGGTTGCTAACATATATTTTTAATAATCCAGTGATTCTAACTTTCTGCAATAAGCAATAAAAATTCAAGCACCATCCACCGAGGCCAGAACAAAGAAATTCTGCAACAGAGGACCTTCTAAATACCTTTTAATACCGTAGTTACCACATTTTTGATTAAGTACCAGCGCTTGTTTGTCCCATATTGTTATCCATGCTTGAAAACACACACACACACACACACACACACACACACACACACACACACACACACACTAACAGAAGCAGTTATTGTAAATTCACAATCTGACCCTTGTGGCAGACAAGGTCTACAGTCAGCATTTTTTTCTTGCCAAGAACACATAAGCTATTAGTACACCACTCCCTGCTGCCTTATTACCCTGCTGCCTCCTCCATGGAAACAGAGGCCGTGACTAAGCATTAGACAGCCAGACTGCTGCTGTTGTCTGCTCTTTGCTGCAGCCACCATCAAACACAAGTCCGCTGTCACCTGTGTGAAAACTGGACCTCTTTCACAGAATTAGTACAGGGCGGTGAATGATAAAATACTGCGCATGATGTGGTCACGTAAAACCTAGAGGTATATGTTTTGTAGTTTTATCAAAACACTCAGTGCAGAATGTACACAGCTGGCTGGCCCACTGCACGTTTGAGTCCATATCACTGTCAACATGCTGCGTTCAGGGATGATTTATTGCTACAAACAAACCCAGCAACATATGGTAGAATGACACACAATGCTTGTAATGTCACTTACACAAGCCAAATGCAGAAAACCAACTCGAAACCACTGATTAAAACTGTACATCAGTCCGAGTTGCACATATTGTGAGCATGCCTTTAATATTAACAGTTTTTATAGGTTCAATTTAGGGCTGAGCAGTATGCACAAAAAAAATCTCAATTTCAATTTCAGTGAAAAAAAAATGATGATGATTTTTGTTGGGTCTCATGCAAAACAAGAAGGTTCCTCTACATTTGGAAAATAGGATTTGTTGGTTGGAGCATCTCTGTAGCAACACAATGCTTCATTTATGGTCTGTTGTACCACATTTTACCTGAATCAGAAAAACTGCAGCTCCTGTGATTGCACTTGGCCACATTGTGATTTAAATAATATTTCGATTTGATCGTTCAGGCCTACTTCAACTAGATTTCTTCTGGGGCAAATCTGAAGCCAAAATATGTTCCATCACTTTGCACACAGTGACACTCACATTAGTCAATCACAAAGAATGTCTTTTAGCAATCCTGAATGGACACAGAGTTCAGTAGCTGAATGATAGAATTTAGTTGATATCATTTTACTTTTATTAGCCTATTACAAGCATTTTCTCCTCTGTTTGAAAAGGCGTAACCCTCGAAAAATGTTATTCACTTAAAAAAATTATGTTTATGACAAAGATGCTAGTATCGTAACTTGGATTTTATATCATTTTTAAGCATAAACTAAGGCCATTATAATATTTCCATTGTGATTTAACATTAGCACCGACTCTTAATACTCATAAGCTTTGTTTACACGGTGGATAAAATGTCATCATTATGCTGTAAGACAGCACAGGATAAAGGTTATGTAACTTCCTGTTTAAAACTGCTGAGGTCGTTTCAGCACAAGTGATTCCCAACACAGATGATTGTACCGTCTATCAGTCGGGGGAAAATTCTCTCAAATAACAAAGCAGCAGTATTGACAGTAACAATAATACCACTACTGCAAGCTGACCTCCTGCTCATCTAAAAGTGGGAAATTACAGAGCGACAAAAAACCACAACAGAACGAAACGCTCAGGCAGTAAAGCTGCTTTGAATGAGGCCGTCTCACCAAGGTTCATTGTCTTTGCCACAACAGCAAACTAGGACCAGAATGTGTTTGACGTCATTATAATTCTCAGGGGTTTTACCCAGCGATCGTTGCAGCAGTCTCATAGGAGTATTGTGCATTAAGGCAAGGATGTGGCATTTGTTCCACTGCCAAATGAATCGGGTTTATATTATCTAACACTGTTTTTGTAATACAGTGCTAACGATGGCGGTGAACAGAAGGTTTGGGAGACGACAAAGAGCGAACCAAAAGTTAAATGTGGAGCCTTTTAGTATCTGCAGAGACACAGCATAACATCAGTGGAGGCATATAAATCAGCTTTTAAGTCTGCTGATAATAACAAACTCAAAATACAGATTGCTTTAAAATAATATACATTGTCTCCATTATTGCCATTTAATCCATTTTTTCTAAGTGTATCTGAGGCCAATTACGGGCTCCAGGGTGCTCAGAGTGCTTCTTACTCAAGTGATTTCTCCATGAGAAAACAAGCTGCAAATCTTTGTTGTGAGTTTGCACGCAGCTCTTACCTGAGGCTGCAGGCGCTTTCGCTGTTATTCTCTGCAGATCTGTCTTCTTGTTGGGGTTGCTGTCAGTTGGGATGTCTGGACAGGAGATGATTGTCGGGTTCTGCTCATTCACATTCTTATCCGATTGGCTCTGCTTCAGCTGTCTCCGCCTCTTCAGCCTGATGGGATGCCAGAGGAGAAGGATTTGTTTACCTCCTCTCATAAAGTTGGGTAAAGAAAATACAGCACTGCAGACGGCCATTTGATCACTTTGGTCAGAGCTCGTGCGATCACAGCTCTCTCAGTGTGGGGATCAACATAAAGTGTGTAGGAATATGTGCACGTTTATATATTCCACCCATGTTAATGCTGTAGTTGATGATGTTTGTTACCGACTACTACAGGATGTAATGACGCATTCACCTGAACTTCCACCCTTCAGATTGGCCTATTGATATCTATAGTGAGCTGGATAGTACACAGGAACCAAAATGTAGTTCCACACTGGAAGTAAGGAGTTTTTCTCTAATCATTCCTGCCAGTTACAATGTCATTACCATTTTACTTATATTTTTCAATCCATCATGATCGGAAAATCACCAGGCAGCACAGGTTTGTTTATTGTCTAATGTCAGCAAAACTACAACAGATTAAATAATACAAAGATGAGACCAAATTGATTTATCAAATGCTCTGAGGGGCAGGGGTAGCGTTGCTCTGCACAGCCCTTGACAAAGACGGAGTGAAAGAAAAGCGAAAAGAGAAGCGTCTTAAGTGTTCAAGCGGCTTAATGGAAAGGCGAGAGTGGGTCGATAAGGCTGCAGACAGACACGGCTCAGGCCTCTCCCGCAGCCTCAGGTCACTCTCCCACTTTAACTGATGCGGCACAAATCTGGAAGTGAACTCGAGAATCTGCAGACACATTCTTAAAAGCATCGTCTGTTTCACTGTGGGGGATGTCTCACAGTGTCCCAATCCCCCCCCCCCCCCCCCCCCCCCCCCCGTCATCGTTCCCTTCCTCTCTTCCATTGACATCTCAGCATAACAGCAGAGAAAAGCCTCATACTGCATGTAACAAGTGAAAATGAAAATACAAATAAAAAAAATAAAAAAACCCTGAACTTCCATGTACAAGACTTGGCTTGAATTGTGTTTTCACTGTGCTTACAGTAGCCCTGCTTAAGTCAACTACCGGCACTTAATATTTTACTGTGTTTTATAACTTTGAATCAAATGTATAAAATTTCACTTTTTTGACACTGTTTAACAGAACATGTGAAAACCATCTCTCTACAAATTGATCTGAGTACAAACATAAGACAGAAGATGATAGTTTCACCTGCTCACCACCACAGCAAACTACAACAGCAATAATCCTTAAGTCTCTATGGATCCATTGGATGCCATTTTGTCTTCACATCTGCAGCTGTTTTGCTGGAAAATAAATTTTCTCCTCAGTTGCAATTCTGTAGTAAACACAGATATTTCTGTATTGCAGCGTTTATTTTACCCCCTTACTTTCTCGTGGCACAGGGGGATCCCCAAAGCGTGACGCTACCACCACCAGGTTTCATGGTGGACTGGGACTTCTGTGTTTCCACTGCTGTGTTAGGCTTACACCAAATACACTGTTTAGTGAGACAGCCACAAAGCATAGTTTTGGTCTCTTCAGACCATAGAACATTTTTCTACTTTGTTTCAGTGTCTCCCACATACAGTATCTTCCATCAAACATGTTGTGTTTTCTCAACAGCTAAAAAACTGTGACTCATGAAATCCCCAAGGCAACAGTTACTTTATGAGCAGTGTCACTAGTCTCCATCTCAAAGTGTGTGTGTGTGTGTGTGTGTGTGTGTGTGTGTGTGTGTGTGTGTGTGTGTGTGTGTGTGTGTGTGTGTGTGCGTGCGCACAGTCTGCTCTAGACAAATGTACTATGTCATATTCTGTACCTGTTTTCAAAGCACAATCTTACTGTACTTCGTGTATCTTCAGTGCCTTGAAACTTTTCAGTAAATCTTTTTGTGCCTTTGTCTTCATGGTGTAGTTTTTTTCCAGGAAATGGACCTCGTACATTTCACCTCAAATCACCCGTTTTACTTTGACATGAGTCTTTCGTGCTAATGTTCTGTGTCAAAAACTCCTAATTACACACACTGGGTTTCAGTGCTGTAAAACAATAAAACATGATAAGTTTCAAGGCAGGTTAATAGTTTTTATTGGCTTTTACTGTATGCGTGTGCCTCTCTGTGAGCTTTGCTCTATTTGTCAGGAAGTGAAGCACCATATGGTGCAAGTAGCAGGAGAGCTACATGTTAAAGCAGTAGCTGTGTTTGGAGATAAGGCTTATTTTCCTTCCTGACATGTTCGCTCCGTCCATACAGGCACAGCGTGGCTGTCTTTACAGTAGTAGTCTGCATGAGTCTGATGTATTCATCCTGCACCTTTCCACTGTTGTTTTTGCTGCTCACTCCCACACTCACTTTGCAGGAAAACACCGTCCCTAACACAAAGCCTGCAGCCCATTAAAATCTAATACACTGCCTACCTAATAATTAGAGGGTGCCTGGACTGCGATGCCATTACAAAGTCATTTCTCTGCCGAATATTTCCAACATAAGCCGATCACATGAAGAAAAAACAGACGACAAATTGCAGGTTTGTACCAGCCTGTCAGTGCAGCCTGAACAAGTAACCCAAGACGTAATAAGAAACAATGAAGCCCATTAGACTTCACTACCTCACAACATCCATCATGTCCATATTGAACAGCTCTGCTCTTAGCAGCATACGCACCGCGTCACTACTGCTTATCCGTAAATCAACTTATTTATCTATTTTTGGGAACATTCACTGATCATTACTTTTCACACTATTTTTGTTTTTACCCATTTTAAAAATCAAGCAGAGCAGGAACAATATTTTCTAGGTTGAGGCTTTTGAGACACGTTTAAACCATTTTACACAGACATCCACCATTTAATCCCATTTATCCACATTCATTTTCACCCAGCTTTCTAAATCAAACACCTGCCAATAGACATTAATTAGTGAGTTGTAGACGTCAGAGAGAGAGCGCCGCTCTTTGTTCATAACCTGACCTGTCTATGCACCGTAGCTGTGACAAGCCTCTTTCCACACATTTCCTGTTATCATGTTTCACAATGCTGCCAAAATCCAATTTTAAAGTCAACATCATTGCGGTGGATCAATAACTCGGATTATATGAGGCAGTATAAGATGGGTGTAGCTCAGAGACAGGTGACTTAACAGTGCTGATCCATGATTCAAAAAGGTGAGAAAAGGAAATGAGTTAAAGCACCTTCACAGCAAAACTGTCAAGGCACAAACGAACATGCATCACAATGGAAAACCAACGGTGTCGCCTCAAACAAGCAATGCTCAAAGAGGAGTTCTTTCAACAACAGAGTTTGGACTTTACACTCCAACATGTGATTCATGGGCTAAGAGATACGGAAAGAAACAAATATCAGAATTTAACTAAAACACTTCCTATAAACAGAAATATATCACATTACAAGTTTGGATAAGAAAAATCACCCATTAGTATGATAAGTTGATGCTTGTCCTTCGTTGAACTTCATGGTAATTGGACGCCTGGTAACTGGAGCAGTTATTTCAGCTGGAACTCTGATATTATGCGATGGATTTACTGAATATTTCAAGTTTTCTGTGAGGATTTTCTCCTCATCTGAATTGAAGGTCTGAGGATAGAGGGTACTGTATGAGATTGTAAATTTCTCTGAGGCAAATATGTTTGATATTTGTTTCTATGATTTAGGATTTTTTTTAATTTTTAATGTTTGTTATTGAGATTTTGCAGTTTTCTGTACTGGACAGTACTTTGCTGCTGTAACACTGCAAATTTCCTAACCCTTATCCTACCTTAGCTGTTATGTTATTGATCATAAGCTTAGTCATCATTAAAATGCTAGGAGCTACACATCAGTTCTGCTGCATGAAAAACCCCAAAATTAAACACAAATAAGACAATACAAAGTACTCACAAAAAGTCCCTTACCTGGCAAAATATCCCGGCTTCCTGTCTCTCTTTTCCATCAGGCCAGGATCCTAAATCTGCATGCAGTCAAGTGCATCCATACAAACATCCACCCTTACACATACACGTATACACACACGCACTCAAGTGTGTCCAAGCCAAAAGACAACTTTGGGAAGATCACCTCTCACACTGTGCTCTCACACTTCTTTCTTGTCCTGCAGAGGAAAAAGAGGCAGGGGATTAGCTGGCTCACGGGGTGCCTCCTCACTCAACAACACTCACTTCACTGCTAAAGCCCAATAACTGATGGTGAAGCCTCATCACACTAAGTGGAGGGCGATGAAAGCATCCTATAATAAGCATGTCAGGCCACTCTGCTGACAATGGCTGACCAACAGGAAGGAAAATGCATCATCTCGGCTGTAGAGGAAAGACACATCTGCTACTAGTTAATGCTGCTACAGTAAACATGCGTTTAATTATGTAATTATGCTTCATCAGAACGGTGGGTCTATTATTAGCAGCATCACTTTGGGAATCTGGTAGATGTAAACATTCAGACCGCCATGGCTACACTATAATCTAGCTATAACACCACAGGGTTAATCGATCACAGACATGTCCCACCCTAAAGAACAGAAATTGGGCAACTGCAGTTCATCCACGTGTAGCCTCAAAGTGTTATATAACAGGTAAATGGCTTACCACAGAGGAAAAGGCTAATTTTGAAGCGATGTTACCCCACCTAGCTAGCCACATTCTTCAGATTGTAGTAGCTTGCTTAATGGGAATTCCTCTATGAACGGGACCACTGAGCAGCTTTCAGCCCTTTCTTACGGTGCAGCAGCAACAACAACAACAGACAAATGCCCAGCGCTGCTAAAGAGAAATCCGTCTGAGCTACCGCCAGGTCCGAGCAAACACAGGCACACTGAACAAGGTCCAGTCTTCCATCTGACTTACCAGCTGATGCTAACGGCACTAGCTAGCCACTTTGTTTACAAGACAATAGCAACCTGGTGGAGATGTTGAGGATATTTTACTCGGCCCTGTCGCTAACCAAATCTCTTAAGGTAAAGCATTCCTGTTAATGTAATGCGCCCTAACGCTGACACCAAATCCCGATCTGCAACGAGGCACTAATACGCTAAATCTGCCATAAAAACAGGTTGCGAAAACTGCCTACATACCTTGCGTGCATCCTCAAACAGCTAAGGTTAATATCAAAATGAAACCTCCCTTCACTGCGCCCTCTGGTGTCATATGTGCTGTTAAAGCACAGGAGCTCACCACCTGCTTGTCTGTAGCTATAAGCCTGCTAAGCCTCTGTTAACAGTAGCCTATAGTTAGCTAAGTTTAGCCAGGCCGGGGATTTGATAGTTCAACGGTAAATGTAGCCAAATGACCATAAATAACGTCAGCAACATAACACATGCATAGAAAAACAAAATCATATGATTCCTCTGTGAGTATAGCAGTCCCTGGTGGTCTAGTGGTTAGGATTCGGCGCTCTCACCGCCGCGGCCCGGGTTCGATTCCCGGTCAGGGAACTACTCCTTTTATCGCTCTCACAAAAATCCCTCCACCTCGTCATACAGTTGAAATGATCTAACTTGACCAAACGACAGCTGGGTTAAATATTTATCCTCCACAGCTTGACCGCAAGTTACCGACTCGCCTGTAACACTCATTGTATTACCAGTGAATAGTTACAGGGAAAAGTGACTGCAGGTAAGTAACAGTGTTATTTAGTAGTCATCACAGTTAGAGTTATATCGGCGCTTTTGTTGTAACCACCGTTTAAATAGCGGCCTAAACTGTACCACATTTAGAAACTGTAGTCTGCGCAAAAGCATTACAGGTTTTAACGTTAGCCTAATGCAAACACCAACTCCTTGACCCACATTCAAAGCAAGATATTCTATTCAATGTTTCCTTTGTTGCTTAAAAATTTAACTGATTTTTGTTTTATTTTAATATTTTTTCATTTGAAATATTTTTTTAAAATAAGAATTATACTGTATTTTCGAGAAACGCCAGAAATATATTTTGTGTGGCATTTAAATGTAGACATATTTTTTTAATTTTTACTATCATAATACCCCTCAGATAAATCCTTTGATTATTTGGACTTGTAATGACCTTAACCCATTCCTTAGCTTAAGTGTGAAACACCCGGAATTACGCGGTGCACTTGGCATTGCCACTTCTGGCGAGCTATTTATCAAATTTACCGCTAGGTGGCGATGTTTCACTACTAATGCTACAGCTAACAGAGGTGTGCAAAATGTTGAAGAGGGCATAGACTACTGTATTAGGAATATGAAGCAGTCCACCGATTAAGGTTACTGCACATTGAAACAGCATCTTCAGTAAGAAAAATGTAATTAATATGAGCTCTTTATTTGTCTTTACAATTTGAAGAAAAGAACAAACAACATTCAAAAGCTGTCTCTGTTGGATGAAATAGGACGCTCTCTCCCCAGCATTTCACAAGAGGTGGGTGACATAGAGGCAATTAAGTATCTTTAACTTTTCTTTTAAATATAATTCTTCAGCTTTTACAGCTTTTAGACAACTTCACACCTGATACTCAATACATGTTGTTAACTTGAATGTAATTGGGTTGTAAATGTATTGTAATAACTTTTCCCCACCATTTCCTCTAATAAGGTTTAGGTCTATTTGAACTGAACCTGTTTGAGATCGAGAGCAATGAGACAGAGATAATGTGTGTTTGTGGAACTTGGGTCCCAGAAGTTGGGGAAACGCAGAGATCTCGGCAGGAGGCCCTCTGATTGGACAACTCTGGAGTTAACCAGTTCCTGGCTGGCTATGTATCTTGGCAGTTATTTTGACAGGCGCTATCATTGTGAGAGAGGAGATAAGTTGTCTTAGGGATCGCCATGGCGCCGGTGTGTCCCTCCTCCGGCCTGTTCAGACTCTCGTCAACCCCTCTCCAGCCCCCTCCTCTCCCTCCCTGCCCAGCTTGAAGCAAAGGATTGTTGTGGGGGTGGTGGTGGTGGGGGGGGCTGTTTGGTTGGGAGCAGGGTTTGTATTGGCAGGTACCCTGTGGCTCTGGGTATCATCGCCCCCTTTCAAGAACATCAAAACCTCCATGAGACTCAGAAGTAGGACAGCTCAAATTGTCGCCTTCTCTTCTCTTTTTTTTTTTTTTTTTTTTAAAAAAGCTGTCTTTGAATTACTTTCCCTCCAATCTGTTGCTTTCTTCATTTCCATTCTTTATTTTCGTTATTTATTTTTATTGCAAGTTGTCCCTGAATGTCTTCCTTTTCTTTGCTGGAAGGACAATGATGGCTTTGAAAAAACAGAGGGACAGAAAGGAAATCATGGCCAGAGTAGCACATTTCACTGAATTTTAACCACTAAAAAAAAAAACCAAGGATGAGCCCTAGTAAACTTTTGACTCTTTGCCAAGTAATGTTTTCAAGATGTGCCTCTCACACAGAGCTATAATAATAGTAAAAATAATAAAAGTCCATCAAACATAGGCCTTCTGTGCTTTGTCTCCCCATCATATAAGATCTGTACAGAACACAGGCAGTCTCATTTCAGTCTCTGATATTAAAATTTTTACAGTACTGTCCCGTCAGAGCCACAAACAGCTTGGTAGCATTACAGTGTCTGTTTTTTTGTGTTACAATTCTTCTTCTACGAGGGAGTTCAAAGTTACACACACACACACACACTCAGGAATTTATGTTGCCGAAGATGAGCAGATGAGCAGAAAGAGAGGAACAAAAGAAAAGATACAGTGTAAAAGATTTGTGTATCTTAACGTTTGTATGTTTGCCACTAAGAATGCACATATATGTGCCGAGTAATAGTAACACATTCATAATAAGCCACATGATCTTCTGTCGCTTTTTATTGTCACTTTTTCTATTGTTTCTGAGGTTGGAATGAAAGATTTTACGACTGGAAATAGCTATAATTGAAATCAAACAAAGCATGGATATTTAATTTGTTCAATGCCTTGTTTTGCTAAGTAAGCACGAGTAAGTCAGTGCTTTATCTTATGTCTATCTTTTTTAAAGTCAAATCATCGTTGTTGTTGTCACAAAGGTCTGACCCAGCGCAGGCCTTGAAGAGATTTAAAATCATTTTACTCAGACGTCATACAATTCCAGCTTAGACTACAACGACTGATAACTTCAAGTACACTGTGGCAGCAAGAAACCACAAAACCTAAACACAGAGAGAGGATATGTCACACAAATGATAATTAATAGGAAATATGGGGGCTGTAATTCATTATAATGAACCAAAAATTTGAAGAAAAAAAAAAAGAAATATTTTAGAAAAATCTTCCATCATGCAGTGTTTTTATTTGTATGTTTTTGAAAAGATATAACAACGCAGACAGATTGTTGTGCAATAAACCAATTAGAAAAAGATATCTTCGAAGCAGAGAGTAATAATGAAGCTAATAACCACAGCCGTTGAGGATCCCACTTACAAACAGCTCACAGCTCTGACAGATTTATTAAGCTTTGAGCTGAAGAAGCTGACACATTGAATGCCACTGGATGACATGGGTAAGTTGTTTTTTTTCTTCAAAAAATCACTAAAACAGAAATTGTTGAATATCACATACAATAGATGTTAATGGTGTTTTAGGTATTGCTGTCTAGACCTTTTTTTTAAAATGTTTTTTGACAATGTTTTCATTTCAAGTATCTATTGTCTAAAATGTCATAGCCTGTAAAATTTCCATTTATTCTTAATCATGTTATTCTTATGTTGTTGTTTGGACCCCAGGAAGACATTGTGTAAGCTACTGTGGACCTAAATAAAGTGGAAATAAGATGAGGGTATAAAATGTTTGACTCATAACTTGATTGATAATTATTGTTTACACATCACAAAATTAAGATGGACTGCACCAGACACACTATTAATTTTACAGATTAGTTTTAACTATATATTTTCAACTCAATAACTGCCAGGTGTAACCATTATGTAGCTAACGCAACTATTCTAATTGTATAAGAGGTAATAGGACATGCATGAAACTGTCTTAACTCTTGATTAATTAGATTTAAATTATATTTCACAAAAAAATAGAAGCTACAACAAGCTACAAAACATAATGATAATAATGTTTGACTGAATGACAAAATAAGAGAGCTGCTAACAGATGTTTCCTAGCTGCCGATTAACACATTACTATCTTTGAAATAAATTGTTTGACATTTTGGAAAATATGGTCATGTGCTGTCTTGCTGAGATACCAAAATACCACTCTTATGCCTGTAAATATGGTAAATATGAAGCTACTGCAGCAGCCAGTTAGCTTAGCCCCTAAAGACAGGGGGAAACAGCTAGCTAAATTGAAGCGTTAAAAAACAAACAAACCCTTAAAACCAAAATGTGTCGTCATTAGTTTTTTTTGTAGGATTACACAAACAAGATAAAACGTGTTCATTAGTGAGATTCAGAGGCACTAGTAGGTGGATTTTGTTAACCCTGGACAGAGCCATACTAGCTGTTTACCTCTGTTTCCAGTTCTTATGCTAAGCTAAGCTAACCAGCTGATGGATATACGTTTATATTTACAGTTCAGACAGGAAAGTGGTATCAGTCTTCTCATCTAACGCTTGGCAAGAAAGTGAATACGTAGGTGTATTTCCTATAATGACAACACTGTAGGCAGTTTTACTAAGAAATACACACAAAACTTAGTTGTGGAATAGTTGGTGCAGCCTAATCCTGGTCAGTGGTCTGTAGTTGAC